AGGTTGGAGATACATCTGAGAGAAGGATAACTGACAGAGCAAGGTCCATTAGGAAACTAAGGGGAGTCTGATCCAGAAAATAGGTAGCAGGGTTGACCTTAAGTAGGAGGTGTTAAAGTAGTCATTTCTATTGAGACAGAGGAAAGAAAGGAAACAAAGAATGGGCTTTAATTATGAGTGAACTTACAGGTGGAAGGCTAGCAACAGAAAGTTAAGACAGTGCCTACTCTATGACCTCTATTTTCTGTTAGATAGGAAAGAGCTGATCTGCTAAGGAAGCTGGAAGATGGGCATCTATCTTTTTTTTACTTGAGATATGATATCAAGTAAACATTTAAAATATCCAAATGATGTTGACGGTTCTGTAGAAATTGTAAACAATCTGTAGAAATACCAATCTCTGCCATCCTGTCATTTTCTTTAGCAATATGGTTGTAGAATTAAAGAGGACACAGTTAAATTGATGAACTGCTTCCTTGTTTTTTCAGATAAGCTTAATTAGGCAGGGGAGTTAAAAATCATTGACAAGGAACTGGTTGCAGTAACGGGGATGGAAGCAAAGGATGTTACTAATAAAATTGTGCCAAGGGAAGGGATGACTGCAAGACTTTTGGCTTAACAGGGTGAGTAAATAGAGATTTAGGGATGTAAACAGATTTAGGAGACAATATAATAGTTCATTTTTAATATTTCAGGTTTCCATATCCAGGTCTACATGCAAATCCAGATGCATAGAAAGGAGATCTAACCTGAAAAAGATAGTAACTGAAGCCAAGGAGATATAAAGGGAAAAAATAGAATTTACACCACTGAAGAAGGAATCCTGAAAACACTCTGAAGGGTCAGAGAAATAGTGACTTAAAGTCCCCTGGGACTTTATAGACAGGCCAGAAAGATAAGGAAAAGAGTCCAGATGAGGGTGGTCCCAGAAGTCCAGAAAAGAGAGTTCAATGGTAGAGTGATCAAAATGTCAGTGCTGCTGAAATTGGCATAGGTTGTTGTCTAAAATTTGTCTTATTCATCTCTGTTAGCATATAGGAAAATGTGTGACACATTGTCAGAATTCAGTAAATGTAAAGTTCTGTGTTGTGGACATCCCAATACCTGTGAATCTCACTCCAACACTGTTTGAATTACAATAAATGCAGAAAGCACAAGGAGGGAGAGAGGGAGGGAGGGAGGAAGGGAGGGAGGGAGGAAGGAGGGAGGGGAGGGGTGGGGAGGGGACGGAAGGATCTGTCTTACCCAAAGGCCCCATTCAGCCCCCATGTCTCCTGTCCCCAGGCTCCTGCTCCCACTTGGAAATTCAGGACTTCAGCTCCTTGAGAACTGCATCCCTGTCCCACCCACACCACCTCAACCATCTCTAAAATCCAGGGTTTCTCTCACAGGTGTTCATGATAGGGTGCTGCCATTTTCCCATTATCTCTGGGCAGTTCAGTTCCCCATCTTGCCACTTCAAGAGGCACCAAGGTCTCCTGCTGGATGCTGTTGATCCCCACCTATCACAGATGCTGGTGCCTCACCAAGTACATCAACAAGTTTTATTCTTCCATCAGACATGCTGCTGAAGAACTCTGTTAAGCACCATGACTAAACAGCCAGAGCCCTCAAAGTGCCACAATGTTGTTGTTATCTGTGGGGAACTGTGCCCTCTCATCTTTGAGTTATCCTCTGTTAGAGGTGTCCCAAAGCAGTGTTGCTCCTGCTTCCGCTGTCGTACAAACTTGAGTGGAAGAGCTCTTTCCATTTCTATTATTTTGTTTTTTTACCTATAGATCTCTTTCTCACTCTAGGACTCAGGCATGGATTGTTGCTATATCTACCTTATCATATTTGTTCATGCATTTCATAAGTGTTTTTTTTTTTGTTTTGTTGTTGGTTTTTGAGACAGAGTCTCGCTCTGTTGCCCAGACTGGAATTCAGTGGAGTGATCTCAGCTCACTGCCAGCTCTGCCTCTCGGGTTCACGCCATTCTCCTGCCTCAGTCTTCCAAGTAGCTGAGACTACAGGTGCCTGCCACCATGCCTGGCTAATTTTTTGTATTTTTAGTAGAGACAGGGTTTCACCGTGTTAGCCAGGATGGTCTCGATCTCCTGACCTCGTGATCCGCCTGCCTCAGCCTCCCAAAGTGCCATTTTTAGTTCTTTACGCTAGTTTCCCATCATTATCATCACTCAGCTACTTTCAGTGTGTCTGATAATCTCTGGGCATCTTTCTACATTGTTTCAAATAACAGGCTAGGGATTCTCTTCCCACATCTCCAGGTCAAATTCCTAAGGAAATAACCGATTGGTCAAACTAATTACCGTTGTTCTTGAATGGACATTTGTGCCATCACATGTCACAGACTACTAATCTACTTGTGGGTCAGCAATAGCCTCAAGGTAGTATCATATGGTACCAGCAAGAAATACATGCAGAAGGAACCTCCTAGAGGAGGTCTGTAGGAGTGGCAGGCAGGCATTCTCAGGCATGATCGTCCTACACTGGGAAACGAGAATTTCTATGCACAGTAACCTTCAGTAGAGACAATGTACTGAGCATGTAGTAGGTTCTCAAACATTATTTTTAGCTCCATGACTTAAAAAATAAGTCTCACTTCCTTCATAGGACATTTAAGTCCACTTAGGATATATCTCAATTTACCTTTCCAGTTTTATTGATTATTTTTCCTTGAACTCTCTACATAGCTCACATTTGTTGAGTGCTAACAGTATGTCTGGTACTTTTCTAAGATTGTTATATGGATTTAGTCATTTAATCCTCAACAACACAAAGTACTGTTATTAGTCTTATTCTACCAATAAGAAAACTGAGGCTCAGAGAGGTTAAGTTACCTGTACTAGGACATGTATTAATAGTTAGTCAATGATTGAACAGAAATTCGAACTTCAGTACATGGCTTCAAAGTCCAAGATCTTAATCACTAAGCCATACTGCTTCTCAAAAATTAACCAATGTTACTACATAATAATAATAGGTATTATGAGTGATTATTGTATGTTGTCAGGGTTCAGAACACCACACCCCAAAGTTTGGTGCTTTGACGTGCTGAGTTCTGTAAACTAAAGGAGACTGGGAAGGCCTCAGAACTAAGGTCTCTCTGAACTTCTGTCAGTCCTCCTTTCTTCCTTTTCCTGTTCTTCCCAAGTGGGTCTTACAACCTAGAATTTCTCTCCCTAAAGCAATCCATAAAACCTAGTAAGGGGCTAGGCACGGGGCGTAGTGGCTCACGCCTGTAATCTCAGCACTTTGGGAGGCCGAGGCAGATAGATCGTTTGAGGTCAGGAGTTCAAGGGCAGCCTGTACAACATGGTGAAACTCCATCTCCACAAAAAGTACAAAAATTAGACGGGCGTGGTCGTGGGCGCCTGTAGTCCCAGCTACTCGGGAGGCTGAGGCAGGAGAATCGCTTGTACCTGGGAGGTGGAGATTGCGTGAGCGGTGGAGATTGCGTGAGCTGAGATTGCGCCACTGCACTCCAGCCTGGGCATAAAAGTGAGACTCTGTCTCCCCCCACCAAAAAGAAAAGAAAAGAAAAAAAAATCTAGTAAGATTACTTTCTGACCGTCCCTGCCTTTCCGTGGTCACAAAGGAATTCTGACTTACCTCACCTGAAACTAGGTCATAAAACCCTCATTCTAGAGAGTTCCTGCCCTATACTCCAAGGCCAAGAATTTTAATGAACTGGCCTTTCTAGGTTCCCCCCTCAGTTTATCATTAGATGATGCCCCTTTTCAATCATGTTTCTCCACAACTATCCACTCCTTTCATCAGACTTAGCATAAAAAGACCATTTTTTCCTGGGTCTTTGTGTCATTTCTGAAGACTCCTCTGTCACATAAAACTTTGTTAAATAAATTTATTATGTCTTTTCTTGTTAATTTTTATTACTTATTTTTTGAGACAAAGTCTCACTTTGTCACCCAGACTGGAGTGCAGTGGCACAAACACGGCTCACTGCAGCCCTGACCTCCCAGGCTCAAGCAATCCTCTCGCTTCAGGCCTCAAACTCCTGGGCACAAGCGATCCGCCTGCCTCGGCCTTCCAAAACGTTGGGATTACAGGCATGAGCCACCTGCGCCCGGCCGGCTTCTCTTAATTTTTTTCATAGGAATGTCAGCTGTGAACCTTGCGATAAGTGAGGACAAGATATTTTTCTTGCCCTTACAATGCCAAACAATGGACTAAGGGTTCTATTATACATGCGGTACTCAAACTGACGTTTTGCCCTGTTGCCACTATAAGTAAACATTTGCATCACAGTACACAGCCAGAAACAAAGCTATAACATTTCCTCTAAATGCTACTATAGCCGCACTCCACAGGATTTAATATGTTCTATATTATTCAGTTAAGTAGATATTCTTATTTCCGTTGTGATTTCTTCATCAGCCCTTGAAATATTTGGTGTATTGCTCAGATTCCAGGCGTGGAGATTTCTAGTTTTCTTGTTACTCTAGTTTAATTCTACTGTGATCAGAGAACATAACGCTGAACGGGGTCGCAGTTTTGAATGCGCTGGGGCTTTCCTTTAAGGCTCAGGATGTGCTGGATGCTGGTGTATGTTCCATGTGCATCAGGTTTCCTCTCTTTCCAACTATCGTGCTAAGAGCTGACTTCAGCTTAGAAATCCTCAAAGTCCCTTCTGACACTAAGTGCGTGTAATTCCAAGCATAAACTAAACGGTAATTACCTCGAACTTTTCTTCCTGTTAACTCTTTTCCTCTTGATTTTTCAAAATGCAGCAACTATTACTTCTAATAAAAAAACAAAAAGAAAACAAAAATCCACTTGTATTCGCCTGTAGCTCTGTGCTTTCGGCTCTTCTCACAGGCAAACGAACACCCCGGGCGCCGCCAAACCACAGGGCCAGAGACGCCGGCACCCAGGCAGCCACCAGAGCCCGCTGGAGCACACGCCGGCGCGCGCCAGTCCCCTGCCCCTCCCAGCGAGGGCTGAGGGGCGGGGCCGCGGCGGCGCGCTGACGTCAGAGGAGGCTGCGACGCCGCCGGGTCCGCCGCGGCGCTGACGGCAGTGGCGGGTGTGAGCGCAGAGCCGGGCCCTGGGCAGCGGCGGCGCGGTAGGACCTCGCGCAGCGTCCGCGGGCTCCGGGGCGGGGGCTCCAGCGGCAAAGCCCCCTCCCCGGGGAGGCGGGGCCTGGGGGAGCTCCCTAGCCAGGGAGCGGCGGCGGCCGGGAACGATGCATCAGAAGCTGCTGAAGAGCGCGCATTACATTGAGCTGGGCAGCTACCAGTACTGGCCGGTCCTGGTGCCCCGTGGCATCCGCCTGTACACCTACGAGCAGATCCCCGTGTCCCTCAAGGACAACCCGTACATCACCGACGGCTACCGGGCCTACCTGCCGTCCAGGCTGTGTATCAAAAGGTACGGTCTGGCTGCCTCCTCCTGGAGTGTCCCCTTCTCTCACCTACACCCTTTTTGTCTCGTCCCCCTTCTGCTTTCCCCGCCTTTCTGCTTGCCCATCATTTCCTCCCCGCCCCATCCTTTTCATCCCTTTTTACCGCCTCTCCTCCCCCGTTATCTCCCCTTACCTGGCCGGGGTACTTGATCCACGGAATAATCATGATAGTAACAGTGATCATAATTACAACTCTCCTATGGCGCTTTGCTGTTTACAAAGGGCTTTTACATCCTTTATTCGGTTTATTCGGCTCATTGAGATATATGTTGGAGTGGGGCTGAGCCATATTTGCCCGGTGTATACCTAAGCTTGCTCTCTTTTTAGAGCAACCCTCTGGGAATTCGGTAGCTTTGCGCCAGAAAATTGCCTGTATCATAGGAAACAAGTTAACATATATGCCCAAGATTTATTCATTTAGCAAATACTTATGGAGCCCATGCAGAAAAAAAGCAAACATGGCCCTTGTTCTCATGAAGCTACTAAGGTGTAGCCTGGGTAACAGACATTAAAGAGAGAATTACACAATTACATAATAACCATTGTGGAAAAAAATGCTGTGTAGGAAAAGCACTGTGGTAAAGAGAGCCCATAACGGGCACCGAGCCTCCACTGGAGCACCACAGAAGCATCTCTAAGAAGGAAATTTCTTTATCATTCTAAACCTTTAAAACCACAGTCTCTTGAAAACCTGTGTTTAAAAAAAACAAAACTGAAAAATAACTGTTCTAGTTCTTGGAGTAACTGTCCAAACTTACTACCTGTACTGAAATACAGGACCTCTGCTTTAGGAGAATTAAGATACAGATGTTGGTTAGCTCCAGGTCACTGTAGTGGCAAACCCTAGTGCCAGAATGTGGGCTGTTGAGTTGCTCAAGCGGCAACCACATGTCTGATTCTTGATTTTTCCAGCATTATCTTTTCCTGTCCTTCTTTCCTTTTGTCCTGCCATGAAAGTTTTTCTGTGACTCATGGTCACAAGGTGACATCACTGTCATCCCTACTTGGCTTGAATGGATGGCCCTTGGGATTCACAACTTGAAGCATAATTAGCATTTTCCTCCCCAATGCCTCCTGTGCGTGAGTAAATTACACAGCTGGATTCTGCTGTAGATCTGGAGTTCCACAAGAATAGGGCAAGCAGTGAATTGCCTTAAATATTTTCCACCCAACTAGCAGTGGTCCTCTGCATTCTGATGTTAGGGTCCAAATCTCACAGAGTGGAAAATTAAGTATAGAGCATTAGCTCTTGAGCTATTGAGTCAAAGACTTTAGTATCCAGATCTGCCACTTAACAGTTCTGAGACCTGGAGCAAACTGTAACCTCACTGAGCCTCATTATACCTGCATGTAAAAATGAGGGTAATCACAGTATCTGCTTCCAGAGGTAAAAAAGGATTCAATTAGATTCTGTGTGTGAAATGCTATACATGGCCTGGAACCTAATAATCCCTCAATAAATGCTGATTGTCATCACCAATGATTTTGAAGCTGAACAGATGATGATAATGAAGATGATTATTGATTTTAAAACTGAACAGAATATGAAGAGATGGTGCTGGACTCCTGTTAACTTCAATAAGGATGGCACCAGATTCGAAAGACAGAAGAAAAGACCCAAAGCCAGTAAACAAGACATAGGGTTCTACTAGGGTAATTTACAGAGAGGTCCAGTGGCAGTGACCTGAACGGGAGAACCTCTGCCGCCTGCAGAAAGCATGCAGTTTATATAGCATTTTACTTAACACCCTTCCCTCTGACGGTCTCCACTAGGTAATCTTCATTTACAAAACAAAAGGCCTCCATCCCATGTACAGTCAGCATTCCATGAGATGGGACAGGGGCTCAGATGTTCCTCATAGATAAGGAATCAGTCTAAGGGTTGGCCATGCTTGCAATTGTAAACACATTCAAGTGTGTTTTTCATATAGGGTCATTCTCAGGATATGCCTAAGTTACTGCTGTCAGGTGTGTCTACTGTGCAGGAGACACCTAACTTTTCATACAGTAAGAGTAGATTCTTTATTAGAGGTGTTCTTGCCTTCCCACCAGCCTTATCTTCTCCAAGTTCAGCCTTTGCCCTCTCTCCTTTTGACTTTCAGGAGTGACTGGGACAGATTTTGGATGTAATCTGAGGAGGTTTTGTATGTCACAGCAGTTTTGCGAGTCCACTGTTAGCTGCAGGGAACATGGAGAGGTTGCGCCTCTCAGTTCAGTTAGTCAGGTTATACTGGATTTCACAAAAAGAAAAGTTCTGAAGTAATAAGCAGAGCATAGTATTGATTGTCAAAACAGTCTTGTAGTTATATGTTTCAAGCACATTCGTGCATCCCTTCCTCCAGTTATAAGTAGTCTTTACACTTTGATGTTTGTACATGATAAAGCCTGAAATTCATGATCCAAGATTCATTTTATTCTTGATGATCATTTGATAGTTTTGACACCTTGCTATATACATCATGTATCTGGCCTTCACTGATTCAGAAATCCTTACTAGTAAATGTTGACATATAACTAAATTTGTAGCAGTCACTGTGGTTCTCGCTTTTGCTTTTACAAGAAATGAACTTAAGAGAAGCAAAATAAATAGGAAATTCCATTTCTTATAAAAATGAGAACGTGAGAACCACAGTGACTGCTACAAATTTAGAGTTATATGTCAATGTCAATATGTCAAGGATTTCTGAATCAGTGAAGACCAAAAACCTAAATTTAAGCAAAAATACTAGATTTTGCAGACAAATGCAAGAGTAGTATTTTAATCTTTAGTCATGATGTCACCTTTTAGTAAATAATCAGATGAGTCCTCTCCACATCTGGAGAACCATTTCCCAAAAGTAAGAAAGGAGCTGGAAGAAAGTTGCAGCAGCATCTAATGTGGCTCCATTACTGTGTAGATGAAGAAACTGAAGCCCGGAGAGGTTAAGTGACTTGTGTGGGGTGGGGACAGTGAGCCTCTTGACTCAGGGTGGTACACACTGTACCAACCTGTGCTGCCAAGACCAGTTAGCCCAGGGCATTTTGAAAGAGGGCACATAGTACCCACATTAAAAGTAAAGTCCAGTTGTTTCTGAAAATGAGAAGCTTATGCCACCTGGAAACTAGACTGGTTTTAAGACATCCACAGCAAAGTTGTTCTGGCATGCCTGTCTTAACCTTTCCAATGGATCAATACATATTTATTTTGCTTCTCTTAAGTCCATTTAATTTTGCATTTGTATTTAATGAGCTCCAGGAAAGTATTCTAAGTTCATGCCTAACCTTGCACTGAGCAGGTTTTCAGATATGTATTATTGATAGAATATGCTAGCTAACATCCAGATTTCCTCTGCATGTTCATTTCTGGAGACCTTTAGTTTGTAGACTAATCTGAGCAAGGCATTGTGAATAGTGGGGTTATAAAGATGAATGGTACTGACCATTAGGAAGTTGATAGGCTGGAAGATGAGATGGAATTTGTATGTAAATCTCTTAATACAGAGAAGGAAATAGTAAGTATGATAATAGAGGTAAGCACCCAAAAAACTGTGGTCCCAAGATTGTTGGCAATGTGGAAAAACTTAGAATAATTTGATTAGATAATATATCAAATTTAGAAAGGTACAGGTGGGGTAAGAGCTTTGGAGCAAGTATTAGGTAACTCCTCAAAATTGTCCCTAACCTTTGAATGTGACAGTAAGTTGACCAATGTGAATCTCAGCTGCATGTATGTTTATTTTCCAGTTTGTTTATTTTATCTAATGAGACAGTAAACATCTGGAGTCATTTGCTGGGTTTCTTTCTCTTCTTCACCCTGGGAATATATGACATGACATCTGTGTTACCTTCAGCAAGTGCGTCCAGAGAAGATTTTGTAATTTGTTCTATTTGTCTTTTCTGCTTCCAGGTAAGTCATTTCACAAATACTGCTATTGGTAAAGAGAACTTTTTGTCAGGCAGGCTTGGTCAGGTGACCTTACCTCAGACCTTCCACTTGCTTTAAAGAGCCCTGGAATGGCATGTTGGTCAGCTTATTGATTTTCATAACATAAACACCAAATGGTCTGTTCCTATGAGAGTATGTTTGAAATCCATTAAATTACAAAGATGGAGAAAAATTTGTTTTTTTCCTCTTCTTTTTGGGCACCTCTGCTTTAAGATTAATAAAAAAAAGTAGGAATCTTTGATTGCATTCTATTAGCTGGTTGAAATAGAACACTAGTGTCTACTTAAAACTTGTTGGGGAAGATTTCTCATCTCTTTCCTGTTTGCATCTGTGATTTTTGTATTTGTTATTTCCATACTATATTTTACTGTCCTGTTTTGCTGGTATTGATTTTTTGCTCTGTTGCTTTAATGTTAATTTATTTTGAACCCACTGGCCTGGCTTCAAATACTTTCAGTTTATTTTCCTCTCTCCTCCTGTATTTGTTAGTTCCATAGCACTGGCATTTTTCAAGAACCTGTAAAAATGTCTTTAAAAGTTACATTTAGTAGATTTCAAACAGATAATTTTGAAACAGAAAACAAATGTGGGCTATAGTTCTATTGACATTTAAAACAATTTTTTCTGCTTCAGAGAATTTAGAAAAACATAAAAATGAAAAGAAAAACTTATTATCCCCCTTTCTCATGACAGACACAGACTAGCTATTCCCTGCAGTTAGCCTGTTGCTGCTGAGTTTGAGAGGTGAACCTCATAACTCAGCTGCACAAATGTCGCTTTCGTTGTGTATCATTTTATTTCAGAGTGTCATCGCTTTACTCAAGTTTAAACTTTGGACTTAAATGGCCAAGAAACACAGCAAAACAAATCTCTCTTCCCCTTTTTTATTAATTCCAATTTTTGGAATAATATTTTAATTTTCTTTGAGGAAAAGCATAACCTATTTCTGTTATTAGAAAATTATTTTTCCTTCAAATATTTTTTAAAAATGTACTCTTTCTGAGGTTTAATTTTTGCCCTGATTTCAGCCAAAATGTCCCTTACAATCCATAACCAATTTTGTAATGTAAATGAATCAATTTCTTTTTAAATGTTTAGGTGCATCTCAGTATAGATTAACATGCTCTTAATAATCATTTAGTAAAAACTGGCTTCTATTCTTGTTAGTTATATGCATATTATCTACTTTGAGAATCCCTGCTCTTTTCCTTTATGCTGAGGCCTATTCTTTATGCCTTCACCACCTGCCACAGCTGATGTTAGTTCAGAGACTGTGTATTAATTTCAGTATTGACGTAAGAAAACAATATATTGCAAAACTAAAAGGATTAAATAATTACAACAATTTCCAATAAAGAAACAGAGCCAGAGTATTACCGTGACTTGCCCAGGATTATTCAGCAGGGCAGTAAAATCCTGTTCTCCTAATTGCTAGTGCAATGATCATTGTTACAATATATGCTGTACAACTTACTAAAGACAGATGAGCACATCTTCCCTACTTGAAAAGACCACTTCTTATCAAATTATAACTTGTTCACCTGAGTTTTTCAGATTCTTAGGGTCAGTGGACAGTGTAGTAAACCGTAAATATATTTATTAATATTGATTTATATTTAATATTAAAAGACGATTTACATTTAATATTAAAAGACATAACATTTTTCTCACTCCTATGCTTCTATATGCTTTAGTGCTTTCCTCGCAACCAGATTAATAGAGTACATTCTGAACAGTAGAATGTAATTCAGGGGCTTTGAACCTTCCAGGGTATTTGTATTTTGGAGAAGAACATCAGAATACAATAATGTCTTTTGCTAGATTTGATCCATTTACATTCAGTTAACAAATATTTGTTGAATGCATCCTATATACATCCAGATACTATGCTAGTATCTTAACAGTGCTGAACAGAACCAACCTGGTATAAAGGTCAAGCCACTTGTAGGCGTGCAGAAGAGACAGTGAGGTGACATTTAAGCAGGAAAAAAGAAGCAAGACTCACTTTCTTAGCACTTTCTGGACTTGCAGGTACTGGTTTTTGTGGTTGAAACCTAGGAGAATGGAGAAAGATAAGGCTGGAGAGATTGGCAGGGATCAAATCACGAGGTATTTTGTTATCATGCCAAGGAGCTTCGATGTGGGATGTAACACTGTAATTATCTGTCTACCTTGATGGAGTGAGATACTCCATAGAAGGAAACTTTCCATTATAACTGAAACATACGCAATTTCCCAGATTATCTTTCAGTCCATTTTTAAAGGAGCTCTAGGAATAACATATTCCTTCTTAAACAGGGCATACTAGGTATGGGTTAACTTTAAAATCTGGGGTTTTCTGTTAACACTATTTTACTTTTCCCTTAGATACCATAGTTTTCTTTTTCCTCTTTTTATTTGCTTTTTCACAACGAAGTGAGCTTTATTTTTGTTTCTAATTATTACTACAAGATATAATCATGTAGAAATTTAGGCAAACAGAAGTTTATGGAAGAAAACGTCACTTGAAATTCCACTTTTCAGAGGTAACTACATTGGACATTTGCATTAAACAATGAGTTTAACCCAAATGTGTATGTTTGTGTATGCATAGCTACCTTGCACCTGCCTACCTGCCTGCTCACTTACCTGTCTACCTACTTCCAAGCTACAGTCATCCCTGCTTGCTATTTTGCGACCTGCTCTTGTGTCATTCAACATTGTGGCAATGGGATGTTTCCCCATCAATGAGAAATATACGCTTTTATGCTCTCCTGATTTATGGTGCTTAATCTCAAGGATAATCTGAGAAAACAAATAACCAGGCTTCTTAGAGTTACGTTTAAATAACGAACTTAGAGTTAGTTACTGGTTGGTTGCTTAGTAACCAAAAAGCTATAGACTATTAAGGATTTTAGACAATTGATGAAGCAATGAAGTTGTGACAAAGTACATTGTTACTGAATATTGATATTGAGTCTATAGTAACTAGATTTGTTTAATGACCAGAATATAAAATATTAATAGCTGGATGACCATGTTACTGCCTTAGCAATTGCTTACAAAATGTTTATCGGTTGAACTACTTTATATTGTTTGTTTTTCCCATTGCCTGCACCCCACTGTCACTGTCTCAGTACATGCTCTCCAGGGCTATTCCTATAACCTCCTGTTTCAGCCCTTCTAGTCCACACCTCTGTAAGGGGGCACTTAAAATCTTCAGGCATATCATATTATACCCATAATATTGAAGTTAAAACCCATTAATGTGTAGGACATGTCATAATCATATTATAAAGAATATGATGCTTTTCCTTAATCTCTGCCCCCCAGCCATAAATATGTGCACACCTTTTTTTATGTCCTTGGTGAATGCCAGCCCAACTTTTAAAATCCGCCTCAGGTGAACAGCCCTTCTCTGATGCTCTTTTCTTCCCACCAGTCCCACCCTCCAAATGCATGTGTACCCTCACAGAGTCAGTATCCTCCCACCTTTTCCAATTATGCTCTGCACTGAAGTACAGTAGGATTTGTTACTGTACTATTCAGTGATTCTGTATCACCTCCAATGTATGACACACGGCAGGTGCTTGACGGCTGAAAGGCATTCTGCCATAGAAACCTCATCAATTATCAGAGCAGCTGATTGAATCAGATTAACTTTACTCTCAGTTTGGCAACCATATAAAGTTCGCAAGTCATGATTGTTTTTTAAATTATTATTATTTTTTTGAGACAAGGTCTCACTGTCACCCAAGCTGGAGCATAGTAGGGCAGTCACGGCTCACTGCAGCCTCGATCTCCCAAGCTTAAGTAATCCTCCTGCCTTAGCCTCCCAAGTAGCTGGGACCACAGGTGCATGCCACCATGCCCAGCTAATTTTGTTTGTTTGTTTGTTTGTCGTAGAAATGAGGTCTTCCTATGTTGCCCAGGCTGGTCTCGAACTCCTGTGCTCAAGCAGTCCTCACACCATGGCCTCCCAAAGTGCTAGGATTACAGGCATGAGCCACTACTACACCAGCCTGTTTTTTCTTGAAGGCAATAAAGCTGTATTTACCTTAGAAATTAAAAGTAAACTCTATACAGTGAATCTCATACAGACATGAAAATTCTTAACTGAAAAAAAAAGCCAATTGTGGAACAGAATGCATAGTGTGATTTCATTTAATTTTAAAATGTATGTGTGTGTATATATATAATGAGTGCATGTGTACAGACTAATATATCACAGGTATTTGACATATGTATTGAAAATACCTGGAAAGACACATAAAAAATGTTATCACTGGCTACCTCTGGGGAATAGATTAAGAGTGGCTTATATTTATGTTCTTTGATTTTTTTAGGGATATGTATTGCTTCTATAGTAAATACTCTTTAAAAACAAATTCATGGATCAAAACAAGCCTCAGATGATAGTTTTAAAACATTCGCATTGTATAACTTTCCCATTACTGTGCTATTTATTTATAATTTTCATTTTTTAATATAGTTATTTTAAATTTTCTCATTATTATCTCCATTTTACCCGTGAGGAAATTGAGGCTTTAGAGTAATGACATGGCTCGCTCTACTGTAAGGCACAGAGCTAGAATCCAAGCCCATAAATGTTTGAATTGAAAGCCTAGCCTTTTAACTATTTCCCTGAACATCATGCATAAGTTGCTTTAGTTTCTTTAGTCACTTTGTTAAGATTTGTTTTTATTTTTCACAGGTCTGTATGCTCTGCTCTGTGGGCTATCATCTTTTTTCCTGCCATCGGTCAGAAAAAACATGTCGAAGATGGATGGCATTAGATTATGCAGGAATTTCTATTGGAATACTGGGCTGCTACGTCTCAGGAGTATTTTACGCATTTTATTGTAATAACGTAAGTAGATTGAAACATTTTACATTCTACCTTTTGTATAGGTCTTGGGTTTTCTTGCCTTGGTTCTTTTGAACTTCTTAATAAGTACATAATTAACTTATAGAATAAGTAGAAGAGTTTTGTATAAGCATAAACTTATTTTTCAAAATGGCCCTGTCATCTCTAACATCTATTATCAGTTCTATACTTATTTTACTAATTTTTTATTGGAAAATATATATACAGTTATTTTCTGAAACTTAATGTAGACATTAAATTATTAATGTTTTCACTAAATCTATATGGCTGCATGGTTCCTCAAATATTCACATTATTTATCTTTTATTTGTGTGTTTATAGAACTGAAGTTAAAATTCACACTTGTTAAAATTATGAGGTTGGTTACTGCTTTCCATTTCTTTTTTCTCCTCTCAGTAAAAAAAAAAAAAAAAAAAAAAAAAAAAACAGGAAAATGTGTCTGAATTTATTAGCCCATATTCTTCTCTAAAATATGTTTTCCTGTCTTCAGTCTTATGTTTGGGGTAGGCTTGTAAGACAGACCAGACAGGAGTGAGTGTCTTTAACAAATGTGAGATGTGTCTTTTCTGAGTTCTGGATCAACTCTGCTTTCTGTCCCTAAGTTCACACAAAAGTCAGTTTTTGCCTTGTGCAAGGCAGCATTTGCAACACTGTAATCAGATAATACAGCACCTGACCTAAAAATATTGGCCAACCAAACCTTATGGAGTAGAACCCTAAGTTATCACCTCATGTTCCAGCCAAGAAGAAAAACTGAATGTTCCCATGGGTTCAGTAAATCTCAAGTTCTCCCTTTCAGAAAGTCCCCTTCCACCCTACTTTGTTTTCTTCCTGTTTTTCTACCATACTCTTGTTTTTTCTTTTGCGCTTTTAGTTACCTCCCTTTCAGAACCAAGACTGAGCTTCTCCCTCAGGAGCAGTATACCTACTAGTTATTTCTAGTCCTAATCACAAAGAATAGAGCCTGTCCTGCCCAAGGCTCACCATGTAACAGGTGCTGTAAGGCAGGTATCTGCAGGTGCCCTACATATCTGGGGGTCACCAACCCCCACAACCTGTCCGTGGCCTGTTAGGAACCAGCCCATGCAGCAGGAGGTAAGCAGTGGGCTGGTGAGCCAGGGAAGTTTCATATATGTTTACAGCCACTCCCCATGGCTCACATTATCACCTGAACTCTGCCTCCTGTCAGATCAGCAGCAGCATTAGATTCTTATAGCAGCACAAACCCTATTGTGAACTGCACATGCAAAGGATTTAGGTTGTGCAATCTAATGCTTGATGATCTGTCACTGTCTCCCATCACCCCCAGATGGGGACTGTCTAGTTGCAGGAAAACAAGCCCAGGGCTCCCAGTGATTCTACATTATGGTGAGTTGTATAATTATTATATATTACAGTGTAGTAATAATAGAAATAAAGTGCACAATAAATGTAATGCACTTGAATTATCCTGAAACCATCTCTGCCTGCCTCCCCGCACCACGATCCATGGAAAAATCATCTTCCACAAAACCAGTCCCTGGTGCCAGAAAGGTTGGGGACCACTCTGAGGCACAGTCCTCAGCCTTCACTTATTGGGAAGATTGGCCGCAGTGTGGAATTTCTCAGATTGCTTGGGATTTTTCAGTAGGACCTTTGTCTCTACACAATGACAGAGAAAACTGTCAACATATCTGGTGTGAAAATTAGTGAAGAGAAAAATCATAAATTTGACTTGAATACGTAAGAACATTATTAATTGTAGCTGCTTAAACGTGAGCCATTTGCTTTTTAGGCCTAATCACTTTGGAACACAAGCACATAATTAAATATATATGCAGGTAACCTTGTTGTAAATTGACTTGATTTTAGCTCTGCCCAGCTTTCATAACTTAACCATTTTGCATGAAACGGTTTATATGTTTTTAAAAAATTAGAGCATACTGATAACCAGGTGCTTGTGAGCACAGCCGTGTAATATCTGAATTCTTTTGCTTATTTTATTCTGCATTTCTCTGAAACTGTTTTCCTTTATCTCTTGCTAAACATCAAAGTGAGATACTTTTTGTAAATCTCTTACCAGAAAAACTAAAAGTCCAAGATAGATTAAACAGATAAGGGAACTACTGGAGCTGATACAGTCAGTCCATGATCATTGAAAAATTGCTTTCTTCCATCTGGTTTCTAATCATTTTCAAATACTCAGTTGCTGTAGACCTATAAAAGACTCGTTTTACCTTTTAAGGAACACAGCTGCTTTCAGAATGAGATTGAAAACTGTGGACCCTAGATCCAGTAGAATGTACTTCTGGGCACACACTTAAACAAACAATCTGACATTTGATTTCAGGAGGTTAATAGCCCCAAAAAAGTCCTTGGTGCCCAGATTAAGAACTCTTGTCTTATGTGACTTTTGACTTTAAGACCAGCTAAGTGCTTATTTAAATACCTACATATCTCATAAGCCCTTCAAACCTAAGCTAAGTGTGTGTTCTCTCATGCCCCTGTTCTCTTCCCCCATCACACACACAGCAAACCTGGATCATCTTTGTTCATTTGCTTCATTAATAGAAGCCATTTATGTGGCCTTTCGGGCTAAAAACAATCAAGCTTTCCTCTACTGCCCTGTCACACATCCAGTCAGCCATTAAGACTTAAGATTATTTCAAAAATGCCTCCTAAATCTGGTGCTCACATCTACTTTATTCAACAGGAGTCCAAGCCCCACTCTCTCTTTGAATAAACTAAACTATTATCTTTCTAGCTGGTTTCCTGTCACCTATTTTCTACACTGATGTCAGAGTTGTCTTTCTAATAAGTCAGTTTGAAAAACAGCTGTGTCATCCTGTTCTTAAAGAATTCTGCTGTTCCTCCAATGCCAGTGTGGTGGAGTTCAAAACATTTAGCCTAACAGTATGCCTTTTCAGCCTTTCTTCTCAAAACTTCCTGCTGCATTTGCTGTTCTCTTTCCTCGCAAGCTCTATCTTCCCACAAAATCTTAGATGTCATCTCCTCTATGAAGCATTTTTTAGCTACCCCAAGTAAAGTTAATTGTTCCCTCTTCTGTGGTTCTGCAGTGTTCTGTTCCTCAGTTACAGTATCTACCATAAGATATAATCATTTGTTGACATGTCTGCCCCTCCCATAGTCTGTGAGCTCACTGCTGGGAGAGTTCATGTCATAGTCATCTTTGCTTTTATAGGACTTGAACTGTGCATGGCATGTAATAGGTAATCAGAAAATGCTTTTGTGTGAATAAATGTAGTCTTTTACTAGCTCACTTTGGAATTTGGTTTGTCATTGTGACCAACCTAAAAGTTGTATGGAACATATTTTTTAAGGAAGGGAGATAATCCTAATTTGAAATGCAAATACCAAGTAAATAGAGTTTGGAATTTGTAGTGTAAAAGCCAAAATTACTTTTTCAGTTCCCTTATTGTTAATAACAGAATTAAAATGTGATTTCCTTTCATTCTAGTACTGGCGTCAGGTATACTTGATCACAGTGCTTGCTATGATCCTGGCAGTGTTCTTTGCACAGATTCATCCCAATTACCTCACGCAGCAATGGCAAAGGCTCCGTTCTATCATCTTCTGTTCTGTTTCGGGGTATGGAGTGATTCCTACTCTTCACTGGGTTTGGCTCAATGGAGGAATTGGTGCTCCTATTGTACAGGTAGGTTGAGTGTAGTTGATATTTTTCTTTTTTTTTTTTTTTTTTTTTTGCCTTTCAATCTTACTCTTTGTGGGTAAAGTAGTATAATCAGGCCAAGTGGGTGGATGTTTGTCATTTGAGAACATATTTGTAATTGCATATTGATGCCATAATTTTCACAGCCATATAAATAAGCATACCTTGCAGAAGTTGAGGTAAAATCTGAATACTGTTTTTCTCTGAGTTGTCTTTCTGTAAAAGAATACATTATTATTCTCTGTTACCCTTAGTATATAAATAGCCAAGTCCATATTTGTGGAGGAGGACTCCAAAGTTTCTAGCTTTGTCTGCTGGATCAGTGATAATGCCAATGATAACACAAGTATAGAAATAGGAGCAGCTGATCTTTTAGGGGGTGAAGGGAAGTTGGGAAGGATTTTTATGTTGGACCCGATGAGTTTGGGGTACCCAAAGGTAGAGATAGGATCTGGGATTTTAGCTAGAGTTTGACACTGGCAGTAAAGATTTGGAAATCATCATTGTATTGGTAGCTGGAGCCAGGGAAGCATGTTCAATCCACTGACGACAATATATTGAGAAATAAAAGAAGAGCTCTTTGTTAGAATCAGGTGTTATGGGGGAATAGTTGATGTGCATTAGGAAGAGTCTCAGTGAGCACTCAGGATTCTTGAGAAAAGGATTTGAAATAAGACTTACATTCTTAGAGATCATTGTAAAAATGCTCTATGTATGCACTAGAGAGTAAACTTGAGAATTTTTAATACAAGTAAATACGCCAGGAAATCTGACAGAAATCACATATACTCGTTGCAATGGTACCTTTCTCTAGAATGTGTGACTTTAAGGGTGGGTTTTATTCAAAAGAATCAGATTTTATTAGAAGAGGAGAGACCATTAGTGGGCCTGCATTTATTTGCATGAAGTTGGCAACAGCATAGTGGAAAACAGTTGGGTGTACAACTGAAAAGAAAGGAAGTTCTGTGACAGAGTCAATTGAGTGATATAATCTGGCCACTTGGCCAATTTGAGGACAAGGGTAATGATGTCTTCATACATTAGGATATTGGGAGAAAGGTGAGACAGTAGTGATGAGGGACATCAGTAATCCTCCTATCTATGAAAACATCTTTCTGACAATTTTGATTCCCTTCTAATAAGAAAATGGAATGGTGAACTGCCACTGTAGATAAATTCCAACTGGAATAATTGTTGACATAGAAGTGACCAAAATTTGTGGATGTGATAAACACATTCCTTTTAAGCTTATAATGACAAAAAAGAATAAGACCCTAATGGGTTTAATAGTCAGTGAATTTTAGAGAAGTTAAGGAAAAAAAAGGGATTTTTTTTTTTTTTTTTTTTTTTGTATTCAGAAATCTTAAAACGGAAAGATGGCTTAGATAATAGTTTTCAAAGATGGAATCCTAATATGATCACAGATCATTCCAGTGAGGAAGCAGAGGGGAACTTTCACAGAAATTGTTTGATAAGCTCTAATTTTTAAAAAGATGGAAAGACGGGCACTTTAACAAAGATAAAAAGTTCTGGAAGGGTTAATCTTGGGAGGCAGGATCAAATTGTGTTCTAGAATGTTTGAGAAATCTGAAGTTGATTAATCTGAAAAATATAGGAGTTCGGGAGGGTTATGATGATTCTCATATTTGAAGAGGAAGGAGAAATTTGTCTTTATTTTTTATTTCTTTGAAACAGAGTCTCTCTATTGCCTTCAAACTCCTTGGCTCAAGCAGCCGTCGCACCTCAGCCTCCTAAGTAGTTAGGTCTATAGGCATGCACCACCATGCCCAGCTAAAAAAAAAAAAATATTTGTAGAGAGAGGGGTCTTACTATGTTGCCCAGGCTAGTTTTGAACTCCTGTCCTCAGCTAATTAAAAAAAAAAAAAATTAGAGGGAGGGGTCTTACTGTGTTGCTCAGGCTAGTTTTGAACTCCTGTCCTCAAGCGATCCTTCTGCCAAAGCCTCCCAAAGTGGTGGGATTACAGGCATAGGCCATGCACCCAGCCTGTCCTTATTAAATGAGTTATTGGTAAATTAGGTTTATAACCAGTATTAGGAACAGTATGTATAAGGATAGCTTGCTGGATTTTCTCAGGGCCAGGAAAGTCTTTTCAATACTGTGTCAGCAGTGAGACAAAGTGCTTCATATAGTACTATTCAAGAGGACCATTTATCTGGGATATTGGAACAGATTTCTGTCTTGGGGAGACCCCTTAGGTCTTTTCCAGCCATAAGTTCCTGTTCTTCAGTGTCTTTGCTTATTTACCTGCCAACTCTATTTCCATATGCATTCTACCCATATACCTACGTTGTAGATGGAGTTGGGTGCCCTTAGGAACTTCAGCATGTTAAAGCTCCAGCCCCTCTAGGAGCCTGACCATTAGAGCAGTCTCTGTGCTCCATTCTTGCAGACTGCTTCCTGCATATGAGAACAAGTTTCATTATTGGAGACAGTCTGCAAAACAATTCAGATTTAACAATCTTAAATCCAACTATTAGATTCGTAATAAATTTGGAGTTCAGTAACAGGAAGATCTGTAAAAAAAACATGTTTTGCTTTTCAGGACTTTGCACCCCGTGTAATTGTGATGTATATGATTGCTCTTCTTGCTTTCCTATTCTACATTTCCAAAGTCCCAGAGCGGTACTTTCCAGGTAGGTGTCTCTTTTATAGCAGTTTTGTATTGTTATCCTAAATATATGCCCAGGGTGTATGTATCACAGCATCAAAACTTAGTTTCATTTTTTAATACTATTGATTATGGAAATGATTCCTCTCTTTCCAAATGTTACCTAAAACTTTCAAAGGGCTTTCACAACTTTTCCTTTCATCCTGACCATGTGAGTTGAGTCCAGTAGGTGGAGTTGTCACTGTTTTGTGGTTATGAACTAGTGACAAAGCTGACATTAGACTTTTGAGTCTTCTGACTCCCAACCACTATTTCTTTTAAAAAGTAGAACACCGTCAACTACCATTTACTTATTTATATGCCAGCTGGTTGTTTAAAAGTAATTTATATATGCAGAGATATATAAAGCAAGAAATAAGAAGCAAAGGACAGTAAGAAAAAGATACTGAAAAGAAGTGAGGTGTAGGATCACTTCACAATATGTACATCAAAGGGGTCTATAAAAAAGATAAAGGTAACAAACCTGGCTTTAGGCTTCCTGGCACCCAGCACTAGGAAGAAAATAGTGAAAGTTAAGAGTCTTTGTGTTTCCAAGATACACAAGCCAATAGATTTTTTTGTTCTTCATTCCAAAGAAAATATTTTCAGATGGAAAATAAGAGGACACTGGGTGGAGTGAACAACAGTCTCCAAAACCTGTATTTGCTTGTTTGAGAACTTTAGCTCTGGAGTCAGACTGCTTGGGTTCAAGACCCACATCAACCACTTTCTAGTTACGTGAGCTAAGTAAGTTACTTAAGCGCTCTCAGCTCCAGTTTCCTATCTAAAACATGGAAATACTTTTTTCCGCCCCCCTGGGGTTATGGTAAGGAGTAGATGAAAAAATGCATATAACACAGTTTAATGAGGATTAGATGAGAAAATGCACATATCATGTAACCAGGTTTCTAGCAATTAGTAGGGACTGAATAAATGACAGCAGTTATTACTATGTCCCCCAGCCCTGGTCTTATAAGTGAAATATGTGGTTTAGTGAGAGACAGAGTGACGCAAATCCAGGTAAGTTTTGGCATGGGTCAGAAATAACATTTAGAGTGCATAAAACTGATATTTTTTTCAGTTTGGAGAGCTAGAAGTCAGGGAGCAGTTTAAATCTAAACTGCAAATTTATCCCCTCTTCTTCCTGGGTTAAGAATCACTTCCACAGTGAATCAGAGAAGGGATTGTCCCACTCATCATGTGTGTTGGGGAAGAAGAAAGGGTGAGAAACCCTGGCCTAAACAATGCATCCCACGGATCCTCAGGCATTCCTCTGTGTACTTGGTTTTTCACCACTGAGCTTTAAACAAGAATGGAAATACAGGGGAAAACCTGAGTTGTAAACAGGAGGATTTGGGAACAGATCTAGGACATGCCACTGAATTGAAGACCACCCATCTTCCAGGCAGGGCCAGAATTTCCCTCAGAAAACAATTCTGGTAAAAAATATTTTTGTATCACTTTATTAATAATTCTTTTTAAAATTCTATATTTTCTTTATAATAGATAAGTAGAACACCAAACCATGAAAATTCTCTATGTGATTATGACCATAGTGGGTTTTAGGCCTTAAAATATTCAGATCAGGAGTTACCAGTTGTTTAATATAGAACATCTATAAACAATCAAACTTGTTGTAACTTAACCTTCCCCAAGACATACTTGACATAAAATGTGCCCTATGTAGCAGAACATGTTGAGTTCGGGTACATGAGAGCAGTGGAGATACAGAAACTAAAAAATTAGAAGTCTTTACAGTGAAAAGTGATAGTCTCAAATGTTCATGTACAAATGCCTTAGAAACTCACTCTGGCAAGTCCTCATGTATGACCTGGCCACTGGGAAATAAAATAAATTTTAACCTAAAAGCTTTCATTCAGCTCAGGTCGAATGTTTAAAAATGTATATACAACACAATGGCATTTGATAGGTCCAAGGATCCCCAAGGTGTGTGGATAAAATTGAGTGGATCTCTGATAGTTGTATTAGATAATCAATATTTGCTGTATTTTGTTTTTTAAAAAATGAGTCTATAGGCTTCACTAGACTGCCAAAAGAGTCCATGGTACAAAAAAGGCTAAGAATCTTGTTGACATACACTTTAAAATCTATGTACTGTACTGATTGGTAAGAAAAAAGAGAGGTTAGAGAATATTTACATTATATGACCATAGAAGTACCATGAGTATGTTATTTACAGTGAAATTATTATAGCTCTGTATTTTGTTATTTGCTAAGAGAGTGCAAGAAGTTTTCCATATGTTGTTTAATCTTCTTAGAATTTAACATTTGACCACAAAGAGATTAAATTGTTCTCTGAAGTTGTATATGAAATAACCTTAGTTAATTAAGCCATTACTAATTACATCCTGCAGATTATTCCATTAGTTAGAGAGCACAGGATTCAGGTCAGCACTTTTTCTTTGCACGCCTGCTTGAAATAAAAGGTGCTTCTAGTAGGTTTATATCTAAACCCAGTAGTATATCTGCTTCTCACAGATTTATACCTAAATCACCCCATGATTTTTAACATCTAGTTTCTTTTGCCTCTCTCAATAATTTTTTGTTGTTGTTCGTTCTGCCAGATGTGAGTTGAGACATGGGAGGCATAAGGTCAAATTCCTGAAATTAAGTTAGATTTTGAAAACACACTTGGAAGAACATTTCTAAAGTTTACCTGTGTACTTAAAATTAGACCCAAATATGAATTCATCCATTTTTAAAAATGTTTGGATCTCCAGTTAGTCTCTAGGCACTCTGAGACTATGAAAATTTTTCTGCTAAACTATACTTCCAAGAAATATATTTTTCCTTTAATGTCAACATATTGAAATCAATATTATTTTTTTTCTACCTTCTTTCCAGGACAACTAAACTACCTCGGATCAAGCCACCAAATATGGCATATCCTTGCAGTAGTGATGTTATATTGGTGGCATCAGTCAACAGTGTATGTCATGCAGTACAGACATAGCAAGCCTTGTCCTGACTATGTTTCACATTTGTGAATTAGGTATGGCCACCTGGTGAATTCAGTTGTTAAGCAATATATAATGGGGAATTGTATACCCCACTATTTCTAAAATTCCCATTCGTTTTCCCTTTTTCCTCTTTAATATGAGTAACGCTTTATAAAAATGGCGGAAAAAAGTATACTTAAGGATCTGTAGTAATAGCTGCTTTACAAAACCCTTAAAACTACTAATTTGCTGCTTGTACAGAAAGTGAAAATTAGTTGGCAGTCATAAGAAATATCTGAATAACAATGATGAATGGGAAACTAGTGTTGAAATAGGATTCATTTTACTTAGCACCAGCTTAATTTCCTTAGGAAGGGCTCATCTCCATTAGAAAATGGAGTCATCCTATGTGCTTAACTATTTTCAGTAAATTACCAAGTTTAAGTGCCTAATCAAGTCAAGGGTTGTTTCAGCCTATGCTTAATGCAAGCTAGGATAGTGATTTTAAATAATCACTAGCTTTTAAGTACATGATTTGTGAGAAACTGGCACTTCAGAGATTATATCCTTTAGCTATAGGTTCTCTCCCTAAGAACATTAGATATTTTAGTTTTCCAGAACAAAAGCTTTAAACTTCTCCTGCAAGTTGAGAGAAGGTTTGAGAAGAGGAAAAGAACATGTCATTTTCTATCAGATAAGAATCACATTAGAAACTAAGTACAGGATTAGACAAATTATGTGATCAAATAACATAGTCATTAGCCACCTAAACATTTTGATTCCAGATATTAATTCCATATAATAACTGAATTCTTGTGAGTGGATTACAGCAGGTTTTTGATCCCAAAATTCCAGAGCTTTCAACTCTCTGAATTTTTAGTCCTGAATATCCAGTGATGGGGGTTCCCAGCTTTATGGGTGCTACTTTCAAGGCCATAGAATCTAGATGGCCCTGTCTTGACCCTGAAATGAACCTTAAGCCTTAGAACAAAGTCATGCAGATACCCCATTTGATAATACACTTATTCACCTGTGCTCTAGTCCTTGGTTTCTGCATGTGTTAGCATTGCATTGATAACTCAGAATCTTGATAAACACTTAATATTTGGACCTGAAGCATTAAACTTTCTCTTTATTGTATATACTTAAAAAAATAGATCTCACTGCCCTATCATACATTGTAGCCCTCTTATTCTTTGGTCTTTCATATGCATTAAATCCCTTAAAGCAGACATTCATAAAAACTTACATTGTTTATTGGAATATAAAATATTACCCAAGTTTCTTAATGAGTTGACACGAGCTGTTTTAAATATTGGTGTATTTTCAGAACAGCAAAATTACTGAATATCAGAAAAAATGTTAATTGATGATGAAGCTTATTCCCAAAATGCCTTTTGTACATATGATATTTGGAAAGTCACTTTAATGTGCCTCAGTTAATACCATCAGTGAAATGTTGTGTTTCTTTTCCAGTGTAGTGTTTTTGGAATATAAATTCCCCATGCTAGTATCTCAGCAAAGAGAATTTCCCCCCAGGAGGCTCAGTAAAGGAATACCATGTCTTACCCATCGTGATGATGGAACCCTGCTTTGAAAATGGCTATTCTACCTTATAAGGTTAAAATTTTGATCCATATGTTAAGTGATAGAAGATTTTGGTGCAACAGTAGTAGGATATATTTCTCCTAGAACATCCCTTATTGGCTTACATGATTTTATTGCCTTTAAATAGATATTTTGTCATTTTGGCCAAACAAAAGACACTGAGTAGTTACACTTAAGTTAAAAATGAGAGGAAAGTCATTATTTTAGGTGTGGAGCCATTTTTATTAGAAAACTTTGTCAAAATAAAAAAAACTGAATCATTTCAATTTTTGCAATCCCTGTATTAGTATATGAATTAATACTTGCCATCTGAATTAATACATAAAAAGAGCATACTGTGTTTTTAAATCAGTGTTTCTTTGAATTTAAAGGGTGTACAGGTCTTTCTCTAGGAAACATTGTTCCGTGTAAACATTTCAACTTTTTATGAAAATGTTAAATATTGTAAGAAAGTTATCCTCTCATTTTTTCACTGCTTTGATGTATTTATTATAAAGTAGGGAATAATGAATGAATGTGGATTGCTGTCAACTAGAAACACTTCTGTATGTCAGTCAGCATTTAATGACCACCTACTGTGTGCACAGCACTACTGGTAAAATTTTGAAGACATTGTTAACGTTAAAAAATATTTTAAAGTTGTCTACAAATCTGAGCCTTGTAATGATGTATATTTATTTTTGTTTTTATAGATTAAAATATACTATCCAGTTACAGTACTAAAAAAGACTGGTTTTAATTTTACCAATGTGTGAACTATAAAAGCTTTTGCCTACAGATTTTACAAGTACATTTTAAAATTATCTATGGCTGTTTTAAATTGTCTCGCAATTTATATGGTTGTGGTTAACTCATTTAAGAAACAATTTTATCTTTCTATATTAAGCCATTTTCAAATAGCAAGACAGTGCTTGTCTTTTTTTGTTATTACACTAACTGCAGTTCAGTAAGCTGCATGACAAAATATGTATTATGTAAATAAACCGGGTTTACTAAATATTTTTAAGTGCTGCTTGTCATTCTTTGTAATACATAACAGCTTTAAAATCATATTTTAGAATCAGGAACGAAGATTCAGGGAATGTCTGTCACATCTTACGGCATCCCACCTGGACAGAATATCTGATTTGAAGATTGTGATTGATTGCCATAAAACTATACAACTCTCCATTTGGCAGGTACCTACTAGATAATACTTTGCCCTGTATTAAATGTCAAGGGGCAAAGCCTATTCCTCTGAATTCCTGCTAGTTGCTTTGCTGCATTAGGTCCCTGTCTACTCTAAATCATCATTCCTGGGAATTCTACCTCTGCCCAAGTGTGTAAAGAATCAGCTCACCTATTAGAGAAGGGGTAGAAATACCTTCTATGTGTATTATCACAAAAACTGTGTTTACACTGAAGAGGTGTAAATATGGTCCTCTGAGATCTTGTACCAGAATTCCCAAGTAGTGTAATGAGATAATGATCCAGAACTGAAACTACCCTTAAGAAAACATTTTTGGAAGGGAGAGGTAAATAGCAGTAGGGGGTTTCCTGTGAAAAATTAACCTCCATCCTCAAGAGAGCCGAAATGAACAGCCGCCAAGGTTCTAGTCCTGCTCTATAAAATCTGAGATCAAAATACTACCTAACATGCATGTAATCTCAATTGTGGCAACCATTTGAACTATCTTAATATGTAACACCAAACGTTCAAGCTTTCAATATGAGAATATTAACTACATGCTACATGTGATGCTTGAGCTGGGCTTCCTTAAAAAGGTATCCATTATCCAAAATAAATAGCTCAAATTGCAGCATATATTCATCTCAAATAAGTTAACTGAATTTGAACAGTAATACACTGCAAACTATTCTTTGTTAATAGAACTCTTCTGATTATTTGTGTTATTTTGCTGCTTTGTACCATTCATTAAAAAGATACAAAGCCCCCTTTTTCACACAGCTTCAAAAAAAGTTCATTCATAAAAATAAGATGAACCTTTCCACAGGCTACCAATCTAAAGACTCCAGTTTGTGGAATAATACATAATATTATAACCTTGATGCCAAGCTTAGTCCATCAATCCAATAAATAGGTTTTCTCTTTAATGTGTCATAGCCTCTCTTCTGATATAATTGAGGATTACAATGTTATTTAACCAAATAACCAATATTAATTCAACCAAAGATGTTACCAGGTTTTAAGGATTTTTAAAAATTTATAATGTGGAAGCTACAAAACAAGTTATTCAGAAGGCATTACAAAATAGTTTTTGTCTACTGTCATCACTCTGAGTATCAGTAATTATGACTCACTGAAAAAGTCATTCTGTTAAGTGATCTTGTAGCAAAAACTCTTTAAGTCAAATGGGTTTTCTTACCTAAATTGTAAACTGTGAGCTCCTTAAGAATAGGGATCTAATCTTACAAACTTTTCTATTCCACTAGCTGCTACATAATAGGTCCTTAATGTTTGTGGTGTGAATGAAATAACTGAATTTGAATAGAAGTTTACATTCAAACGTCGTAATAAGACAAATAATGAAAAACTCCAAAGTCACTGATTATAAAGAATATGCAATCCATTTGGGATTTATTGCATTTAAAGAAAACAGATTAAAACAGGTATGATAAATAGAGTAAGAAAATAACTTTAAATTTCAAACAAAATATAGTGAATCAGGGACAGAATTCAGTCAAAAAGAATAAGCAATGTAAAGGCAATAAAGTAATAAAATCAGTTAGTGCTTAGATATGGCGGGGGAAGGGGATGGGAGGGGGAGACTGAGTCTATCTCATAACTGTTTCCCAGCGATATTTGAGGATTGAAGTTACTTCAGCAAGTATGTTTTGTAACAAGTAGAAATACAATAAAGATGTAAATCTGATTTATTTAAAGGTTAAAGTTATTTGCTTAGTGGTACATAAAAGGCTTCAGAAAATTCAAGTTTAACAAAAAATGGAAGTGTAATCAAAGAAAGTGCACTTAAAGCTGTTTGCCAGCAATTAAAAAGTAGCTTCTATACAGCTTCTATTAGATGACTTTTCAATCACAAAAAGAGCACAGTCATAAAAACAATTCTTTCAAAAGTAGCACTATAAATTTTAAAATAAAACAAAACCCCAAATCATGACCCTTTGCATTATCATCTACCTTATTCTCTTAGTAGCTTTTGTAAACCCTCACTAGGAGTGAATGTTCTCTTAGATATGATTGTGGTTGCAATTCCATTTTTTAAAAATTCACATTAACTCCACAGTAGAGAGATGTGACATGCATGTGTGTACATATTTTTATCTTAATATATAAAACACCACTGAGTATAAAAGTTCTCAAATAATCTATTCATCATTTATGGTATTCTCACAGTAGATATGTCATCTCATTCTCACAGTAGACTGTCAACTCAATAATTGGACCTAAAATAACAAGTTTGCTAAAAAGAAAAAAAAATGAGAGAAAAAAGTTTACTGCACATTCTAAATATATTAAAAACAAATGTACCCAAGCTCCTCAAAACTAGTGATATTAATACACTTGTACCTTCTAACAGTGCTTACGTGAAGTACCAAAACCTAAAATAAACCAAGCAGAGTAGCTGACTTGTAACAAAACCGCTCTGCCTGGTGAACTTCAGCAGAAAAGAGTGGGCTCCACCTTAGATTTTCCACCAGCAAGAGGACAACAGTCTATCACTCTTAAACAATAGACAGGGTAGGAATGAAAGTTGTGTCTATTTGCAAATCCAGATAATGTCATAACTATGCGCAACACATACACAGGGATTGGGGTAAGGGAAAATAATTACACTCCTGAATAAATGTTCTACTCAGTTCAATTTTCATCCAGTCTACAACCTTTCCTCCTCCACCTAATATACTTACCATGCAATTTTTGTGTCTTAGCAGATACATTCTTCAATGCCATAAAAAGCTGATCTTTTTAATACTAACATTTTACTGATGTGATAATATTAAAATAAGCAAATGGTCCACTTTTTAAAGGATTATTCAAAATCAACAAGCATTATTAAAGCTGTTAGGAAACAACTTTGGCCTCAGATTTTGCTAGCTTCATAATAATTTACTTCTCTTAGTGATGTTCAAGTATAACAGGTTTAGTTATAACTACATCCTAAAGAAGCACAGGGGACACCCAAATATTAGGGGAAAAAACCCATATGTGTGTGTGTGTGTGTATTTGCTTAGTGGTAAATATAAATATATATATATATAAAACCTTTCTTCCTTCCTTAAACCAGAATTGAACCATCCCATAATAGAGCCAAACTTTTACTGAGTGCTGTGTGCCAGGTACTGTGTTAAGCACTTTCACATACCTTGGGAGCTTTATTCTCATAATTCTCACAAGGGAATAACCTGAGCATCAGCTGTGTGGAGTGACCTAGACCTTGACCATGATTCTGGGGGATGATGAATGAAAATGCAAAATATAAATCTATACTCCTTAGGAAAATGCCTCTACTACAACACAAAGGAATCTCTCCATTTATATCCTGTTGAACCCCCAATTGAATCCTGTATCTTTTCTCTGAGCTACAATCTTGAAAGAAGAAAGTCACTGTGCTGTGTTATAACATTAAGAATGTAAATATTTTAAGCTGTCAGAGTTGTTTCCTCAGAATTTATAAGCCAAAAGGTCTACATCTGTGTCAGAATCATTTAAAATTATTCAGTGTATTGAAAAGCAATTAAAACTCTAGGTATTTCATGTTTACATCTGAAGGAGACCACATTAGTTCATCCTCTACCCCTTTTCTAAATGATGAAACTCATGAGGTCTAGCAGAGACCAAGGACTAATACAATCAAGAAGCATATTGTGTACACCTCAACAGATTTTCATTTAAAAAAATTGTTTGATACAAACCTACTGTAGTTCATGAATTTACTATGTGTAATCAACTCTTCACTTTTAAAAGAAAGTATCACTTGAATCTATTTTGTAAAGTTTTTAAACATCTACTTGAGCATTTGCATTAGCAATATTAATCAACCTGAGAATCAGAAGAAAAAAAAAGGTGCGAACACATTTGCCTTTGGCACGAGGACAAGTAATTGGTGCAGTCCAGCTCTAAAAGTACAACTCTAAATAATAATGTAATGCTTGGTCTGCCTCTGCTACATTGTGATTCACATATTGCTTCCCTATCCACAAATTTGTATTTGATTTAGCATATAAAAGAAGGGAAAAAGCAATAAAAAGACAAATAAGTGGTTTAGTTACATATACTTTGCTTCTTTCCAAGTTCAGAACTGTGAAAAGAGGCAAATAGCTTATCCCATTGGGGCACTATAATTAAGAGATTTCTAATAAAATTACTCATAAAATATACTTTAATTGGGTTCGAAGAGAGTTAATTTAAAATATAAAAATCAAAGAGAGTGCCAGTTGATGAGTGTCCACTCCTTTCTGTAAATAGCATTAACTGTTCTAGAAACTTCCAAATGTTAATCTGATAGCACAGCACAATTATAACTTAAAATAGTTACAGACACAGGAAGCACAGATACTATATTCACATTAATTCACATATGTAATCTCTATCATTAAATGATTTCTATAAAATCTCAAGTTTCTAATTAGGATTTGTGGTGTTAAAAAAAGGCAAATTGGTAGCTGGGTTCTCTTCAGTAAAGACACAATCAACTAGCAGAGTTAAGATGCTAGTCCACCTTATATGCATTTTAGGATCTGGTGTATTAGTGCAGAGGTACTTGCAGCAGGATGCATGAATCCTGCCTTTATATAAGGCTTCGTGGGTGTCACCATTCTATGTACTTTATTAAATCTACTCCACCCCCCAAACCTAATAAAAATAATTGTTGCTTATGATTTGGGGAATATTTGGTGAAGTTGCTAATAAAGTACATTATTAAATGCAACATGATTTCACATTGTAAATGTCTTGAAAATTCAGTTTCCGCTACATATTTTCTTATAAAATTTTTATATAACCCTTGTCCTCACTCCAATTTTTCCAATAATCTGCTTTATTAGGGCCATGACAATAAAAGTTTGGGGCAAGAAGCCATTCATAAAGTGTTTCTAAAGTAGTGAACATTTTCTATTCTATATCATTTTTTCTTCTTATAATTTCTTTGCAAATGTCAGGTGTTTCTCATCATATTTTTGTTCTAGGCTTCTATGCGATAGTCCATTTTTTAAGTTCTGTTTTAATTGACAAAAATTATATTTATCATGTATAACATTGCTTTGAAATATGTAAATTGTGGAATAGTTAAATTGCGCTAATTAACTACACATTATTTCATATGCTTATCATTAGATATTCCATATTAATGGCACTTGTTTTTAAAAATGAAACAGAGTTTTAGGCACAATAGTTACTTCTGGCTCTGCTTTGTGGAGAAAGGTGTATGGACTGAAATCTCTGCACTCTCCAGATAATTACTTTCTAATGCTTTAAGATAACTAGACTGTTTTTAACTGTCTGGAAATTAGAAGAGACCTTAAAAAAATTCACAAGTGTAACTAGTGTATGTACAAATAACCCTAATTTTAGGAATATGCACACAAAAATGACATTCTGATATCAAAAATAAGTTTTACTGTCCCTTCTCAGTGGCTACACACCTGGAAAGGTGCCATGTGCTTTCACTGGAAGTACCACACTTGCATTTCTGTATTGTGATGTCAGTAGCAGAAACCCTTCGTTAGAGCTTGCAGTTTAGCTCCCTTTCTCCTGAAGAGGCATCAAGTTCCTACCCTGCAGAGATACTTCATTTTTCTATTTGGTTTATTTAGAAATCACCTATTCTGATTGATCTTTAAGAATGAATGATATAAAGAGCTACCAAATTTTCTTTCAAATTCATGAAACTCTTCATACTTTCTTGAAACAGGAGTTAATGCCAAGAATCCATCAGAAGTATCTACTGTTTAGAAGGAAATGGAGCAGCACCAAATGGGTCCAATTCGACTGGTTGGGACTGTTGGGACTGATGTGGAGTGATGCTTTGCACCACAAGTTCTGTAAAGGGCACGGCACCAAAATCATCCATTTTCAATACATCTGCACTATGGAATGACCCATGTAGTGAATTTTGTCTTGGCCGCCCTGGCAGGACAGTATTGTGATCAGCACGGATGTCGCTCAGGCCCTGATGTGGAGGGTGCCATGACAGGTCTGCAGAATGGAACGGCTTGGCACCGAAGGGGTCCAACAGGCTCTCCTCAGGTTGTAAGACATTGCCCCTATCTTTCCCATCAGTCAGTGCAACACTGATGTTCTCCTTGGAGTCTGAGATGGTTAAAAATTCATTGCTACTTTGAGAGTCTCGGCGGCCCACTTTTTTGTGCCTGCGAGCCCTCTCTGGAGTGCGGTAGGTAGGCTTCAAAGTCTTCTTTGTGCTAGTTGGCGTGCCATGATGCCGCTTCCCATTGCTTTTGGACATATCCTGCTTTGTACGCCTTTGGCGAGAGGACAGTTTCTGTAAGCTGCGCTGTTTGACTTTTTGCTGCTGGCTCCCCGTTATTTCATCAAAGGGCACAAGCCCAAAAAGGTCCTCTTTGCTTTCACTTTTACTTGTTGATGTGAGGAAGGGTTGAAATGGAGTGGAGCCAAATACATCTACACTTTTGGGATAACCAGGGATAGTATGTGCCTCAGGCCCCCCGACATGGCATTCTTGGACATTCACCTTCTTGCTAAAAGGCGCCTTTGTGAATACATCAAATTCCTCCTGCTCGAGTCCTGCAGCGGGAAACCTGTGTTGAGGGAGGTTCTTTTCATTCTTTTCTTGCTGGGGCTGTTGAGCACGCACTGAAAAGAAGGGGACAGCGCCAAATACATCGAACTCCTGTTTGGGAGTCTCCACTCCAACATCAGAGGATAACTGGGCTGAGGTGAGGAGTACTGTATTAAGATCTTGGGTTGGTCCACTGCCAGATTTGTCTCTGTAGACAGAGCTCATGTCACTGTACTTTGCTTTGGCCTGCTCATAATCAGAATCAGAGCTATGTTTCTCCTCTTCTTCCTCATCTTCAGAATCCATGAGGAGAGGCCTATGACCCAGATTTTCTGGTTCAGTATCATCATCATTAAAATCTCCTTGTTCCCCCTGAAGAACTTCTTCATCATCTTGCTCTTCCTCTTCACTGCTCTTAGGAGAAGGGGGATCTGATTCAAAATCACTTTCAGATTCATCATTCCCCTTTTGCACTTGACCCTGTACTGAGGTTTTCTTTCCAGTCCGCTGATCTTTAGATGCTGGACTTGTTTTGCCGTTCTTGAGAGCGTTTGCAGTGCCATTTTCTTGATTTATAGATGAACGTTCAGCTTTCTTTTCAGGAGAACCTGCAAGTTCAAAGAAAAATTATTACAGCATTCCAATGCATTTCAAAATCCTCTTGCACTAAATGTTAATATGTATTACACACAGCATTACAAATCCCTCATAGGAGTTCCCTTAGAGGAAAGAATAATGTTGTCAATTCTTTGTCAGTAGACTTAGAGAATGCATTTGACCTCAAGTAGATGGTTAAGTCTTAATGTAAACAGACTTACTCATATCTGGACCCTACACCCTGCCTCCTCATCATACTCTGACAGCCAAATTTTATTTATAGCACTCAGAATGTAGTAGACTAGCAAATTTTCTTCACCCCACCACCAAAATAACATTATTCTGCTAATTCTGAAAGCTCAGATCTCACATTCACTAAACACCTTCTGCTTATATTTCAACTGTTGTAAAGTTTCCTCATGGAGATCCACAAGCATGAACAGCCTGCCTGCTCAGTTACATATTTGTTTCACTATTTTTTTTTAAATCAGCATTGTATTTTTTATAAACCAGTATCTTTTGAATTGAGTTAGCATGAATGGCCTGATCAAAGCTAAGGACCAGATACTAAATGGAGACTGTACCAAGAACATCTGTCTTCTCTAGATGATATGTCTTCCTTTAATTATAATATCTATATATTACATTAAAAGCGAGATGCCTTTAAAAACAAATCTACACTATCTGGAGATGTTTTTAGCTCAGAATCCATTCAGTCACTTCATTTTCTGAGTTCATACAACAAAAGAAATATAGGGCACTTTACACAGTACACTGGTGAGTAGAAGAAACATGGTTTCCGCTTTCAGGGGTTTACAATCAGAGGTTGCAAGTAAACATAAATTGTGACCAGTGCTCTGAAATAAAGGAGAGCAGGGAAATGGGTGCATAAACCTACTTTGGACAGTCGGTGAAGACCACCCTAAGGAGATGACAGGACTGAACAATGAGAAGCAGCCAGCCATGCAAAGGATAAGCTGGAAGCTGCTCCCAGTAAAAGCAATGGCATATATGAAGACATATTTAAGGGGCTGAAAATAGGCTATTGTGGCTGGAACATAGTGAGCAAGGGAGGATCAGGTACATGATGAGGTAAGGAAGACTGGAAAAGGCCAGACTGTGAAGGTCCTTTAAGGCCACAATAAGCAGCATAGATTTTATTCAAAATTCAGTGTATAATGGAAAGCTACTATTAAAATGGGTGTCATGATTAGGTTTCCATTTTTTAAAAAAATGACTGCTCTATAGAAAAAGACTAAGGGGGCCAGGTGCAGTGGCTCACCCCTGTAATCCCAGCACTTTGGGAGGCCAAGGTGGGTGGATCACAAGGTCAGGAGTTTGAGACCAGCCTAGCCAACATGGTGAAACCTCATCTCTACTAAAAATAGAAAAATTAGCCAGCCATGGTGGCGGGTGCCAGCTGAGTCAGGAGAATCGCTTGAAACTGGAAGGCAGAGGTTGCAGTGAGCCAAGATCGCACCACTTCACTCTAGTCTGGGCAAAAGAGCGAAATTCTGTCTCAAAAAAAAAAAAAAAAAAAAAAAGACTAAGGGGAGATAAGAAAGGGAGTTTAGGCAAAAGGAAATTATAGTAATGCAAATTAGAGATTTTGGTGGCCTAGATGACATGACAGTGGTGGCAGAGTGGATCAAAGTAGAAAAAACAGAGATGGAAAACTCTTGGTGGATGGCAGTACCATTAACAGAAAGGAAAGAATGAGTGGCATGATAGAAACCCATTTACCCTGATGTAATTATTATGCACTGTATACCTGTATCAACATATCTCATGTACCCTATAAATGTATATACCTACTATGTACCCACACACACAATTTTAATTAGCATAAATTTTTAAAAACTGAATAGCTGGAAAGTGAAGAGGAGTACTAAAAATTTTGTTTGGAGACATTAAGCTTGACATATGTGTGAGACAACATTTAAGTGTACAGCAGTTAGGTATCTGTGACTTGAAAACAATGGTTAGTTTTTGGCTGAAGAAAATAGATTTGGGAGTTATCACCATGCAGTCGGTATGCAGGGAGAGCTACAAGACTAAAGGATATCACCTCGGAAGAAAACATAGAAGAAAACAAAATCCAAAACTGAGCCCTCAGTACAAAACATTCAGAAGTCAGCAGAGGAAGATGAACATGCAAAACAAACTACAAAGTAACAGCCAGAGAGGAGGAAGAAAACAGCTGAGTGCAATGTCACAGAAATGGAGAGAGAAGAATGTTTGTAGGGAGGTAACAGACAACTGAGCTGGATGGTGCAAAGAGGTCTGGTAAACTAAGGACATAAAATGGCCACTGGATCTGGTCATCTTGTATAGTTTGTTGGCAATGTTGACATGAGTTGTGGTGCTAAAGAATGTGTGGGAGACAAGTATGTGGAGAATACCACCAGGTTATACTTTAATGCAAACATAATCTTCTGCCAGTTCCTTAAAACCAGCCAAGAGCTACATGCTGTATTTGTTATCCTTCCAGATTAAAAGCAAATCAAATGCAGATTCTCAAGTTTGACTTCTTCCCTATACCGCATATGTATGATATTAAAAACAAAGTTAATTTTAGATTAGTGAATTTCTTCTCATGAATTTTTATTCAAAAGCAAAATATGGGAAGAGGGGAAAAAAAAAAATAAAACAAAATATGTATGGTTCCAGATGATTTCCCATCATCCCTGACTGTGGAACATTCAACGTATTATTCCTCGAGCTGCATACCCACCCACAGCCACAACATTCACACCTCACGCCTGCTCACGGACACCTCCAAGTAACATTCCAATGTTGCCCAAAGTGTATCTGCAGAGGCTATTTCCCTAACAAGAACCAAGCCAAACAGTTCTGTGATCTCAAGCAAACAAGTCTATGAAATGGGGCACTCTGCATTCTGCCTCCACTCCTACCCACCTGGAGTATGCTCATTAAAGGGGCTAATGAGTCCTACACAAAAGAATCTAATTTTATGAACCCTAGGATTTCCCAAATTGTCTTCGCTACCCTTTTATTTACATGTAATGCCTGTTAACCTTTAAAACCAACTGTGCAAAAGTGCTCTGGGAAACGCTGCTATACAACTTATCTTGAAATTTTCCATTTCTAGGGCACTTTAGTTGTGTTCCTGAAGGTCTTCTAGAACATTTAACATAGGAGAGATATTTCATCTTGGAGAATGTCATTTGGAAGTGAATTTAAATTCACCTTTTTAAAATTACTACATTGTAATCCCTAGTCTTCTTAAAATTTACTGTTTTCATTATCCAACTGGTTACCATTACTTTTCAGAAGACATCTGTCACTTTATATTTCCCATTCTGTTGGCCCTTTGTCAGTTTATCAAAGTTGTATTAATAGAAATACACATTTATAATTGTCAGTGTGAGTATAAATCTGTGGGTTTTTAACTTACTATTTTTAATGCATCTTTTCAGGTATCAACATAGTCCATTATTTATTCTGATAGAAATATGATAAAACATTGCATATATAACTGTTCACTGTTTCTATTTAGAAATAGAACATTTAGGTTGTTTCTAGTTTTTCGGCATTTTAGATCCAACCATGATTCATGCACTTTTTCCTTCAAGGAGTAAAAGGGAAACCCTCCTTTTTTAGTATCAATTTCACTTTATTTATATACTATTATTCCCTCCTTATGGGTAATTAACACAGCTAATAAAGCTAACCCAATAATAATCCTGACAAGGTCACCACTATTCCACTCTTTCTTTATACACAAAATGGGATAACACATTTTATTTCACAGAGCTGTTGTGAAGAAAGGACTTAAAACGCTGCCTGACACATAATAAGCACTCTACCATCTTCATGTCCAGGGAATGGCCAAATTCAATTATTTTATCCATCACACTCAACACGCTTCTAGTAACTTTTCTGGGCCCAATGGTTGCAGGTGAATATAAATGAGGGAGAAGTGTGGGGAGAAGCAAGTCTATGGCTAATTCAAGAGGAGCCGAGATCCACTTCAGAACTGACCAGAAGTAAGTAGACAAACCAATGTATATTGACATAGCATAAGGGTGCATTTTAGATCCTGGAAATTACATTTTTGATTTTTAGACAGCTATATTTGGGAACACAGTATAAGAAATGGAAACACACTTTCAAAAGAGCAAGAAAAGACACAATCATCTATACCACCTTTGTGGTTTCAGATTACATCTGCGAATAGTACAGGCAATTGGGGAAATTTTCTGTTGATGTAGATAGACTGGTTTTAATTATTTTGCCCCCCTACATAAAACTCAAATAACAATCAAAAATATTTATCCAAATTCCTGTTTTCTCCCATATTCTTGCAACCCACATTGACATTGTTTAAATATTTCACTCTACACTTTTACTGCTGTCATAAACTTATAAAAAGAGCAATAATTAGGCTCTCTGAAAGCATACTAAGAGAAACTATTAATCCTTTTATCTCTCCAGCACCTCCTACTGAGGAAGAGTTAGGATCCAGGTTGCAAGTTACCATGATCCAAGGTAAGTTTCTCTTTTCTGCAGTAGCAGTGATCTATTTAATCATCTATTCATTATGAAACTATAGAAGAGCTGGGAAAGAAAGATGAATTACATAAAAATAAAAAGTATTTCAGTATATTCTAAGGCTTTCAGTCCTATTCCATAGACATAAAAGACTGTCAGAGTAAGTCTTTTAAGTTATAAAGTTGGTTATAACCATACGATGCACAGCACTTTAGAATGTGACCTCTAGCTAAGAATGCCATAAACATTTATACTCTATTTATTTGCCTAAACATATTCCTGTAATTAAAAAAAAAATTCAGATATTCCCACTATTTGTGTCTGGGGCCAGGTTCCCACTAGTTGTTAAATAATACACATTTGATTTACTATGAAATTTAATCAGGATTATTTCACTGCTAAAGTTAATTTCCCAAAAGTATAAGCCTAAATATGTTGCTTTATAATTCAATATATCCTAAATCCTAATAATCCCCATATTTACTGAGATCTGTTTTATTAACATAAAAATAGCTGTTCTTCAAGTAGGTGGGAGACGGGGGTATAATATTTAGAATAAGTACTAAGAACATGTATTTACAGCATTAAAAACTGTGTAGATGGTGCACAGAATCATAACTCATTTACATTATTTTAGTATACTGTAAAATTTCATATATTCACCCATTGTTTTTATTTTTGGCTCTAAGAAAGGTATTTCTCTTTTTTTTAACTAAATACAGTAGAATGATATTTTGATGGTTTCTAGTCAAGATATTCTTTATGTTTTTGTGCTTTGGAACTATGAACTAAAAATTTTAGCTTTTTTATTATCTTAGGAAGTTGTATGTTAATTGGTGACACAAAGCAAGTTCACTAATTATGCAGTGATTTAGTAAACATATGCCATGCAAAAATCTATATGATCAACCAATATCTGTAAACAAAACTTAACAGAGGGTTAATCAATTAATTGAGAGCTGTTACTTCAAATGCTGTTCCCCAACTAAGAATGAACCAACAGACCATTAGTCAAAACATAATACTAAGTAGATTTTTAGGGGAAAAAACTCAAAATAGGAATACATTAATATATTCCACATATTTATACAAAAATACAGAATTAAATTTTCTTTAGGCAGCTTTGGTACAGAGTTACTAAGAACCAAATTTTCAAAGATTCATTATTGTAGATGGAATTCTAACTATCTTATTTTCAGAGCCTAGTTAAAATAATAAAATCATAGACTTTCACAATATATAATAATTATGCAGTTATTAAGCCATAATTAATAATTAAGTCATTTCAAGTAGAATTTAAATGAAAGTATACATCTACTTAACAGAAGAACTTGGAAGAGAATACAAGTCTCAACATCAAATGCAGTGCTCTTTCAATTCTTTATTTCTGTTGAATTCTACTATCTGAAAATGAGAGCATATCCTCATCTTTTCAGGTTGAGTCTGATTGCTGGAAACCATCAAAATTCATTCAGAGCCAAATTCTGAGAATAAGGTGAGTAACTAAGACAATGCAGATCTGGGCAATTTATTAAGAACAGCAATGATAGGTTATAAAGTTTTAAATTATCTTATATGGCTTCTAAATAGTCTCTCAGGGAAATTACAAGTATTGCAAAAAATGTTTGAGCAATGAAGTACCACTCAAATAAGTGTCAAGAGGACACAAATGGTACTTGAATCAGAAATGAATCAGAGGAAATAGGAACTAATATCCTGAAGCACAGTGCCAAGGGTTTTTCATATATTACCTCTTATCTCCCTACTATTAGGCTCCCACAACATTTTAGGGCAAAAAATGCTCTCTAAGGTTTACTATGATCTTTCGTAGAGCTTTTTTCTCTTCAATCTTATTAACCACATTTTCAGAAACTTTCCTTGTTTTCCATGTTAGTTCACTGTCATGACTTCCTACCATTTCAAAAATATGCATTGTTAACACTCAAAACTCAGTCCTTGGCTTTCTCTTAGCTCTTTGCGCTTTTTCCTTTTGGTGGCCTTAGTATTCTTTCATAGCTCCAGTTATATCTTGAAAGCATAAGAAAGGATTTTGGGAGATTTAGTCTAACTTTTTTTATACATAAGAAATTTGAGACCTGCCCAAATTTAAGGCTATATATCAAAGCCATAATGACTTCTCTGCTGACACTAGCTTAAAACTCTCATCTGTAAATTCTACAATTAAATTACCAGTAGAATATTATCACTAGCAAAAATTCAACATGGTTTATCACCAACACACTACAAAATACAAACACAGACTTACCTTGCATTTATTTTGTATCCTCATTAAAAAACCATACCCGAAAAATAAAAGTCACAAACAGGATGAAGACTCTTTTGTTGAACCTGTATGACGAGTACCCGGTATTAAGAGGTTTTTTTTTTTTTTTTTTTTTTTTTTAATATTCTGTAGGGTTAAGTTCTAAAAATACTGTAAGGCTTTATCAACGAACAAAAGAACACTCAACTTTACAAAATTTATGAGAGAGAAACATCCAAATAAGCCTGAGTTTTCTCATCTAGAAAACAGAGCCAATAATAGAACTTACGTGATAGGGCTGATGTTAATATAATTCATTTTATTTAGTGAATGTTCACTAAATATTGGGTAGGAGTGTGTGTTAGATTATGAATGTGTATTTTGACAATGAATTCATTCAGCAGGGTACCGTATGGGATACAAAGATGAGTAAGAAAATACGTGACGACTTCAAGAAGCTTATTCACTTAAAAATTTGTGAAATAATTATGTACATTTATGCATTCAGAAACATGCTGATCTGACTCTAGTGATCTGGAAAATAAGTGACCAAGGTAATAACAATTGGATAATTTTGAAAAACAAGCTTATATTCACCAAATAAATGTAAGAACATGAATTTGCCCATTCTGTGCTTATAAGTCTTCATAAAAGGCTAATTTTAGGCCTTTTATGAAGGTGTTAAAATTTGACAATGAATTCATTCAGCAAGGTATTGTATGCCATACAATACCCTGGTGTTAAAATTTCAGACTTCATAGCCTTGCACAGTCCAAATAAGGATTCTAAACTCAAAAGTTAAAATTTGTAGTCAATGCCTAAAACATTTCTTAGGCTACATTTTCATATATTTGTTATAGCATTTTTTTAAACAAATACTTCATAAAAAGAATGAGATCCTAGTTAATGCCACACTATTTTAAACAAATATTGCAATATATTCTTAAATAAACCTTCATAAACCTTCATAAAATTCAAAAAATAAACCTTCATAAATAAACCTTCATAAACCTTCATAAAATTCAAAAAATTCAAAATATTTAGAAAATATCCAATGTGAAGAGAGCAGCATGTTTGCATCATACTATGCATATTACCACTCTTCTAGAATCAGGTTTCCTTTTAGAGGGCAGTTGTTCTTTTAGTTATAAAACAGGTGGTACATTTTTAATCATATAAGAAGCTTCCAGTATCAAGGAAATTTTGTTTTGATGTTCTTTTCTTAGCTGTCAGATTATAGAAGATAAATGGCTTGAAACTGCTATTGTAATTACATGCCTTCTGTTGTCTCATCATTGAGCGTGTAAGGGAGGGGCTATAAGACTTTAAAGTTCACTTTGAATTGGCAGCATACTGCCTGCCATCATCTCCCAGCAATTTACCATGTTAGTCCCAAGGATTAGTGGATTAGGAGGTTTTATCAAAATCTGTACTGCTTCTCAGAAGGCAGGCCAAGTGACAGGGTTTGAGTATAAGAAGAGAATCCTAATAGTTGTGAACAGTATTTCCCAGCCAGATGAAAAATGCCATAAAACTGACATTTCCATTATGTTCTCCTATTAATATAAATTTTTATTTAAAATAGATTAATGCTTTGTTTTGCTATTTACAGACTAGAGTTTAGAATGAGACAAAGCCAGATTCCTACTTATAAACTGTGTAAGCTTAAGCAAGTCACTGAACCTTTCTGAGCCTCATTTTCTACTCTATGTATACAGTGGAATTCAATATATCATAACTATTATTGCTAACATCCTGAAGTTCTTCAAGAATCATACACTAGAATCTAAAACAAACAATACCTCATTGTAGCTTAAAAAATGGCCCAGCATTTGGACTGACAATCTGTAAATGTTATGTTCCAACAAATATTTGCTATATGTAATGTAATGTTTCCCAATCCTAAACTCAATTTAACTTCCTATTAGATAATAAAGCCCACGGGGTGGGTCTAAGGTCTTTGGGAGCATTGAGGAAGTTCACCAAACCTAATTAAAAATTAAACGCAATATAAGAAATTTAAAACTTCAGTGACCTAATTAATATGGCCTACATGTCACTAAAACTCTTCAAATACAATTTTAGAATTTCAAGAACACTACGTTTTAGAAGTTGTAGGTGTTTATTGAAATTGGGTGGTCCACACTACATTATATAATTCACAGAGCCACCTATCCTATGTTGGTATACAAACTAACTGTAAAACAGTACCCTGAGGAGAAGAAACGGAATGGGTTTCAGGAAAGGGAATGAATACCATGCTTTAAATATGATTTTTATGAGTATAATGTAATGAACACTGGTAGTTAATCCTTTAGTGAAAATAGGAATGGTGCTATTTTAAACAGATACTGGTAGTGGAAATCCTCACAAACAGGTTCTATATTTTAACAGTTTCATTCAGAAGAGAACACTAACATAATAGTCACTCATTTAACCCTTTCAATTATCTTATCAAGTAGCCAGTACTATCTTCAATTTAAGATAAATTTTACAAGAAGTTTGGGCTGGGCACAATGGCTCTTGCCTGTAATCCCAGCACTTTGGGAGGCTGAGGTGAGAGGATTGCTTGAGGCCAGGAGTTTGAGACAAGCCTAGGCAACATAGTAAGACCTAGTCTCTACAAAAAAAAAAAAAAGTAGCTGAGAATGGTGGTGCACACCTATAGTCCCAGCTACTTAGGGGGCTGAGGGAGGAGGATTGCTTGAGCCCAAGAGGTCGAGGCTGTAGTAAGCCTATGATCATGCCACTGCACTCCAGTCTGGGCAACAGAGCAAGACTCTTATCTCAAAAAAAGGAAACAAGTTTGCCAATACTCAATATCAAATGGTTAATCTGTGATAGAACTAAGATTTTAACTCAGGGTTTTATAATTCCAAAGTCAATGGTCTTTCTGATAAACTACATTATTAACATCAGTTTTATAACCTGGCATAAAAGGTAAATATAATTCATGATAATTAAAATATCAACTTATGGAATAAAACATAACATTTGCATACAGCAGATTATTGATATAATTATTTGATTCTTGAATAAATGGAACATTATAAATTTAACTTTCCCAGAAATCAATGTTTAAAATTAAAAAGAGAAAAAACTAGACTTGATTCATTTTAAGACATAGTCTGCCAAAATGTTATATTTGCTAATTTTCCTAAAAGTCTGGAAATGATATCATAAACTAAGGCAACAAATAAATCAGAAAGATCATGCTTTGTGGCCAAAGTAAGGTAGGCCAGCTGACTGTACCAGATTGTGAATACATGAATTATCCTTAATTTCCAATCACAAACCTATTTACAGCTGTTCCCAGTCTCAAGGAGAAAAATTTTTATGTCTTGTTAGACACTCATTTTTCCAACTGTGCTACTGACTTTCTCTCTCCAGGATACTGTTCTTTAATCCATCTCCTTCCTTCACTTTCAATTTTTCTATATACAGTTGAGCCTTGAACAATGAGGGGATTAGAGGTATCAACCTCCGACCACCGTCAAAAATCCATGTGTAACTTTTAACTCCTCAAAAACTTAACTGCTAATAGCCTACTGCTAACCAGAAGCCTTGCTGAACATAGTCAACTAATACATACTTTGAATGTTATATTATACACTATATTCTTAAAGTAAGTTAGATAAAACAAAATGTTAATAAGATATATTTACTACTAATTAAGTGAAAGTAGATTATCATAAAGGTCCTCATCCTCATCGTCTTCACAGAGTAGGCTGAGGAGCAAAGAATGGGGGTTGCTCTTGCTGTCTTAGGGATAGCAGAGGTGAAAGAAAATCAGTGTATAAAGGAATCCATACAGTTCAAACCCGTGTTGTTCAAGGGTCAACTGTATATATAAACACTCCCATATCGCATAATTTTCTTGTCTTGCCCATGTAAAATCTAAATTCTTCCCTTAATCCTTACCTACCTACCTTTCTCTGTTCTCAGTACAGCTGGACTCTTTGAAAGAATAATCCGTTGCTCAACTTATTCAACTCCCATTCACTTCTCAAATCCACTGCAATCAGAATTCCAACCGTATTATTCTTGCCAAGATTAAATAATTACTAAGTGCTAAATCTAAAGGACTATTCCCAGTCTCCTTACCCCTGTGAACATTTCAAAAGATATGCTCAATATAAATATATATATATATTTTTCTTTCTTCAGCTCTCCTGTACTTCTCCTGTCTCTATGGTCTTTCTTTCTCTCTTTTCTTAGCTCCTTTGTCTTGCCTCATCACTGTTAGAATTAACCTGAATTTTCTTCTCATCCCTCTTCTAGTCTCTTCTAACTGGCATGAACTACCACTTTCTTTATGGTAAACTGATGGCCAAGATTTCTGTCCTGGATGTCTTCTTTTGTGTCTAAATTCCTACTAAAAAGATTCCAATGCCCCTACAGACAACTCAAACTCAACCTATGTGAATGTGAACTCTTTTCTTGACCTACCCTATATTCTCCCTTTCCAGAAAAGAACTTCACCAATTTTGCCAAAACAAAAGTCTGCTAATCGTTTTAGGTTCCTCTCTCTCCTTCAAGGTCTCCTGCTCCCTCCCACATGGTTACTAAATCCTATATATTCTGTCCCTCTCATCTCTCTCAGGCTGTTATTTCAAGCATGGAGTCTTTTGCAATAGATTTATTTTAAAAGAAGGAGTCTCACTATGTTGCCCAGGCTGGAGTGCAATGGCTATTCATAGGCATGATCCCACTACTTATCAGCACAGGAGTTTCAACCTGCTCCACTTCCAACCTGAGCCAGTTCAGACTTCCTTAGGCAACCTGGTGGCCCCCTTGCTTCCAGGAGGTCACCATATTAATGTCAAACTTAGTGCAGACACAGGATCAGCATAGGGCATTGCAGTCCAGAACTACTGGGCTCAAGCAGTCCTCCCACCTAAGCCTCCCGAGTAAGCACATGCCACTGCACCAGCTGCAATAATCTTTTAATCACTACTTCTCACACTGAAAAGTGAAACAATAGGTTTATTTCTTATTTTTGTTATTAATTCCCAATTCACATTGTCCAAGTGATTCAATACATATCAAGTTATTTCTCACTTGCTTTCAATTTCTGTAGTCATTCTGTTGCAGACCACACTTTGAGGAGCACTGCTCCAAATGGTCTTTTTTTTTTTTTTTTTTTTTTTGAGATGGAGTCTCGCTCTGTCGCCCAATGGAAGGACTTTAACAGGAAAGGAATATGATTAGATATACAGTCTAGAAAGATTACAAAGTCTTTCCAGTGTAATCTTTCTAGACTGTATATCTAATCATATTCCTTTGCTGTTTAAAGTCCTTCCATTTGTGCCTATTGCCCCCATTGTCTCCACAACATGATAGCTCCTGCCAACCTCTCCAGTTTAATTCAATATATCATAACTATTATTGCTAACATCCTGAAGTTCTTCAAGAATCATACACTAGAATCTAAAATAAACAATACCTCATTGTAGCTTATAAAATGGCCCAGCATTTGGACTGGCAATCTGTAAATGTTATGTTCAAACAAATATTTGCTATATGTAATGTAATGTTTCCCAATCCTAAACTCAATTTAACATCCTATTAGATAATAAAGCCCACGGGGTGGGTCTAGGGTCTTTGGGAGCATTGAGGAAGTTCACCAAACCTAATACTGCCATCCTCAAATACCTGCAATTCTCTGAACATACTGAATTGTCTCAGAACTTTGCTCACAACTGTTCTCTCTGCTCTGAATGCCCTCTTCATTCCTACAAGTTCACATGCATTCACTTCTCAGGGACTACCATAAGTAACATCTTTTCCATGAAGCTTTCCTCATTTCCCAATCCCAACTCAACGAGAATAAAGCAACTCTCTCCTTTGCGCACCAACAGAATAATTTATCTCCTCTAGCATTTGCATCTTAATTGCATGTAGTTTTCACGACTCTCTCAACCAATCTCGAAGTCCTTGAGAGGCAGGGGCTGTAATCTTTATAATAATCCTTTTAGATTTTCAGATAAAACTCTATCTTGTAATAGAAATAGCTCCTGAATTAACTTCTGAGACTATGCCGATATTAATCAAGGCTGGGAAATTAGAAGGTAGACAAAATAAGAGGCACCAATGCAAATGTAAATTAAAACAGAAATTATCTGTACACAGCAGGATACTTAGCACTATAAAAACTGCTATGAAAACACAGAACTAGCAAGAAAAAGGATCAAAAAGTTTTACATACACTATACTTAACAAGTATAAATATTAGACCTACAAGGAAAATCAAGTAAATGGTTCAAAATTCAAATAGTTGTGCTCATATGAGATTGTGTTTTTCCCATACTATTCAAAGTTTTATGATATAGTTAATTTTTCATTATAAATTTTTAATTCAATTATAGCATAGACACATTTGTACATTCCTACATAATCTTCACTTCCATCATTTTAAAAACAGCATTAAATTTTAATTACTAAATAAGCCATAATTTAATATTTCACCTAATATTTTATATTTAGGGTGCTTTAAATTTTGTTTCTACAACTAACACTGTACTGAACATTTCTGTAGCTGCACTTTTCCCCGAGATGTTGTTATTTTCTTAAGGTAAGTTCCCAGAAATAAGGCTTAAAAAAAAAAAATCAAAAAACATTTTATTCGTAAGTTGCTCTTAAAAAAAATACTTTTACCAATTTATGCCATCAGCAATATCTTATGCTAATTTTACTCCATATTTTAAGCATTATATATCTATCTCTCTCTATATATATAATCATACTAAAGTGTATTTACTTACCTGCTCCATTGTACATTTTCCCCCAAGCAATGTATTTCAACAGAGGAAACTATCAAAACTCTAAGATTAAGCTTCTCAAGTAAATGAGAATTTTTTGAAAACTTCCAGTGTGAGCATAAATCAGTGTATTCATTCTGTAGGCCCATCTAGCAATAAATCCATTCTGTAAATGTACATGCTCTTGGCCATTAGTCCTCCTCTAGGAATAATGTCATGTGCCAAATGTTCATGTGTAAGGATGTTCAATAAAGAATTATTTAAAATACTGCAAACTCTTCTTGATGGATTTGCAAAAGCAGTAGCAAAGAAACATTGTGATAAAAAACAGTTTAAATATTAAAAATTTAACAACTTCTAGAAATTCTCATAAAATTAAAAAGGTAAGTCATTTGTAAAAATCAAGTAGACATATTAGTCTGATAGTTGAGATCTCACTGCACTGCATTCACCATATATAATAATCATGACAAAATCTAACGTTTCCTGAAAAACTATGTGCCAGGCATTTTTTGTGCTTCACCAATATTTTTCTTATTAATCACTAAAAACCCTATGAGTCACGTGTTATGGAATATTACCCCCATTTTATAGATGAGGAAACTGATATACACAGCAAGTAGGTGATTTGCCTGGGTCAAACGCTAACAACAGACCTTAAACTGAACCCAGATAATTTTAACTTCAAGAATTTACTCATGTAATTTTTAAATATAAGTACAATTAAATGTTATTTCTCATCCCTAATTTTTCAATACACACGCTTTGAGTATTTTATCATAATATAGGCATTTGTATAAAAAACTGCCAAATTTGATAGTTTGATCATTGGCTCACCAAGCCCAATATTCAATCTCTGGTAGTGACACTAGGATTATTAGTTGTGAGAAAAATGAAGGTCATTTATAATCTTGGCTGCAAAAAAGTTAGGTTACAGATTTATAAAGTTAAGGAAAGAAAATTAAAAGCACCCTATGTTTCAATTAATTAAACACTGTATTTGGATTTGGCAGGATGGCTCACACCTGTAATACCAGCATTGTGGGAGGCCAAGGCAGTAGGATTGCTTGAACCCAGGAATTCAACATCAGACTTTTCAACAAAGTAAGACCTCGTCTCTACTAAAAATTTAAAAATTAGGTGGGCATGGTAGCTTGTGCTTGTAGTCCAGGCTACTTAGGAGGCTAAGGTGGGAGGACTGCTTGAGCTCAGGAGTTCAAGGTCGCAGTGAACCATGATCATGCCACTGCACTCCAGCCTGGGCAAAAAAGCAAGATGCTGTTTCAAAAACAACAATAAAAACTGTGTTCATATAAAAATTAGAGTGGAGTACAACTGGCAATGATATTATAGTCCTTTTGCTCCATAAAATTTTCTGATGGTTTTTATTCTTTAACAATAGATATGAGCTAAATTCCCATCTACATCCCAACTTCCATTAATAAATCTACAGATCCATCTTCTTATTTTTTCCCCAAGTCTCACTTTCAACTTTTATTTCATTACCTCTTTTTTTTAAGTGTCAGTTCTTTTATTTCTTCTAGTATCATTTACTCCAAGGGAATCCTCAATGTCAAGTATTTTTTAAAAATTTATCCTAAACCCTCTGGGATTTCAACCTTTAACCAAAACACTTTCTGAAATTTGTGAGAAATTAGAAAAATTATAAACTATGTGGCAAATTCAGCACATCAAAATGTGTGAAATGCAGCTAAACAGTGTTTGAAGAGAAATCTGTACCTTAAACCTTATGTTTTAAAAAGATCAGTGTAAAATTAAATACAGGTGTATGTTTTTATATTGTGCCGGACTTCACTGCACTTCCAAGATTGCCTTTTTAAAAAAATTAAAACTCTGTAGCAAGCCTATGTTGAACAAGTCTATCACTGCCGTTTTTCCAAGAGCATGTGATCACTTGGTGTCTCTATGTCACGTTCTGCTAATTCTTAAAATATTTTAAACTTTTTCATTATTATTTTATCTGTTATGGTGATCTGTGATCAGTGATCTTTGATGTTACTACTGTAATTTTTTCGGGCTCCACAAACTGAGCCCATATAAGACAGCAAACTTAACTGATAAATGTTTATATGTGTTCTGACTGGTCCACCGATCAGTTGTTCCACATCTCTCTCCCTTTCCTTGGGTCTCCCTATTCCTTGAGACACAACAATACTGAAATTAGGCCAATTAATAACCCCACAATGGCCTCTAGGTGTTCAGGTGAAAGGAAAAGACGCATCTGTCACTTTAAATCAAGAGTTAGAAATGACTAAGCTTAGAGAGGAAAGCATGCTGAAAGCTGAGATAGGCCAAAAGCTAGGCCTCTTACACCATTAGCCGAGGAAAAATTCTTGAAGGAAAAAAGTGATACTCCAGTCATCAGTGACGAATGATAAGAAAGCAAAACACCCTTATTGCTGATATGGAGAAAATTTTAATGGTCTGGACAGAAGATCAAACCAACCACTGCATTCCCTTAAGCCAAAGCCTTAATCCAGAGTAAGGCTCTAACTCTCTTCAATCCTATGAAGGCTGAGTGAACTGAGAAACCTGCAGAAGAAAAGTTTGAAGCTAGCAGAGGTTGGTTCATGAGCTGTAAGGAAAGAAGCCATCTCTAGAACATATAAGTACAAGGTAACGTAGGAAGTATAACAAGTTATCCAGAAGATTTCATTAAGACCATTGATGAACGTGGCTACACTAAACAACAGATTTTCAGTAAAGGCAAAACAGCCTTCTATTGGAAGAAGCCATCCAGGACTTTCAGAGCTAAAGTAAGTCAATGTCTGGCTTCAAAGATTCAAAGGACATACTGACTCTCTTGTTAGGAGCTAGTGCAATTGGTGACTTTAAGCTGAAACCAATGCTTACTTGCCATTCCAAAACTCCTAGGCCCTTAAGAACTATGGTAAAACTACTCTGTTTGTGCTCTATAAATGAAACAACAAAGCCTGGATGACATCACATCTGTTTCCAGCATAGTTTACTAAATATCTGAAACCCACTCAAAAAAACCCACTCAGAAAAAAAGATTCCTTTCAAAATATTCCTGCTCATTGACAATGCACCTGTCACCCAAGAGCTCTGATGGAGAAGTACAGAAGATTACTGTTGTTTTCATGCCTGCTAAAATAACATCCAATCTGCAGCCCATGGATCAAGGAGTAATTGTGGCTTTCAAGTCTTATTAGCTGGACGTGGTGGCTCACATCTATAATCCCAGCTACTCTGGAGGCTGAGGTGAGAGGACTGCTTGAGGCCAGGAGTTCAAGACCAACCTGGGCAACATAGTGAGACCCGAACACTAAGGAAAACTTTAAAGAATTTCACAGGTGTCTTAGTACATGCCTATAGTCCCAGCCACATTGGAGGCTGAGGCGGGAGGATCACTGGGGCCCAGGAGTTCGAGGCCACAGTGAGTTATGATCATGCCACTGCATTCCAGCCTGGAAGACAAAGCAGGACCCATTTTGATAAGTCTTATTATTTAAGAAATACATTTCATAAGGTTATAACTGTCATAGATAGTGAATTCTCTCATGAATCTGTGCAAAGTAAAGCTGAAAACCTGAAAAGAATTCACCATTCTAGATTTCATTACAAATATTTGTGATTCATGAGAACAGGTCAAAATATCAACATTAACAGGACTCTGGAAGTTGACTGCAACCCTCATGGATGACTCTGAAGGGTTTAAGATTTCACTGAAAGAAGTAACTGCAGATGTCATGGAAAGAGCAAGAGAACTAGAAATGGAAACTAAAAATGTGACTACATTGTTGCATTCTTATAATCAAACTGGAAGAGATGAGGAGTTGCTTATCCTTGAGCAAAGAAGTGGTTTCTTGAGATGGAATCTGTTCCTGGTGAAGATGCTGTGAACACTGCTGAAATGACTCAAAGAATTTAGAATATTACATAAACATAATTCATAAAGCAATGGTATGGTTTGATATGGTTTGAGGGAACTAACTCCAATTTTGGAAGAAGTTCTACTGTGCATAAAAACTGGTATCAAACAGCACTGCATGCACAGAGAAGTCTTTCATGAAAGGAAGAGTCCATTGACTTGGCAAACTTAAATCATTGCCTTATTTTAAGAAGTTACCATAGCCACCCCTTCTTTCAGCAACCACCACCCTAATCTGTCAGCAGCCTTCAATACTGAGGCAAGACCCGCCACCAGCAAAAAGATTACAACCAGCTGAAGGTTCAGATGATCGTTAGCATTTTTTATCAATAAGTCATTTTTAAATTATGGTATATACACTTTTTAGACATAATATTATTGCATACTTAACAGACTACAGTATAGCATAAATGTAACTTTTGTATGCACTGGGAAACAAAAAACAAAACACTGTGTGTGCCTCTCTTTATTGCAAAATATTCACTGCAGTATCTCTTAAAATAAAACATAAAAATTTTAGCATATGTCAATAAATAAAGACCAGATAAAGTCAAAAGTTGGTTCTTTACAGAGATTAATGCCTTAGCAAGTTTGATAAAAAGGGGAAAACACAAATTATTACTATTAGGTATAAAAAAAGGAATATCAAAATAGATCCTCCACATTTTGAAATGATGATACTGGAACATTATTAAAAACTTCATGTCAATAAAACCCAGTATCTCAGATGAAATGTACAAATTTCTTTAAAAATATAAATTTCAAAATTTACAATGTAAGAAAACTGAACATCTAAACGGCCCTATAACTATTAAAGATATTAAATATGTAATTAAAAACCTTTTCACAAAGGTAAATTGAAGCCCAGTTTGCTTCACAGGTGAATTCTAAATATTTAGGAAAAAAATACACATCATACACTAACTCTTACAGAAAGTAGAGGTAACATTTCTCAACTCATTTTATGAGACCAACATAACTCTGAAACAAAAGTCTAAAAAAGAAAACCAAAGTTCAATATCCTTCATGAATAAAAAATCCTTTTAAAGATTGAAAACAGCAATATATTTTTTATAAAAGAAATCGTGGTCAACCAGGGTGTTTCCAAGAAATTCAAGGTTGGTTTAGCATTTCCCACTAGTCTCATCCTCCCCCACTTCTCCATCACATTTTAGACTCAGTAATCTGTATCAAACTAAAGGATTTCTCAAGCCTGGGAAACACTGTATCTAATAAGCAAACTTCTTTACATCCTTCAGGTCTCAGTTTAAGGCTACCTTCTCTGGGAAGAAAATAATTTACGATAATTTGCTGAAACTCTTAGAGTGAAAGATAAAGAGAAGAAAACGTGTGAAAAATGTGCAAAACCAAAGTATCCTCAGACAAATTAAAATACGTTGCATCCAATAATATGTTATTTGCAATTAGAAATAATGTCTGTAATATAAAGCCAAGGAAATTTCTAAGATGCAAATATAAAAGGCGAAGAGCTAGAAAACAGAGGGGAACAAAATTTAAATTAGAGGTTCAATCCAAAAGGCACAATATCCTTTTGTAAGAAAGAGGACTGATTTTAAAAGAAGAACGCACAGAAAGAAGAAGAAAGAAAATTACCAAAACATATAAAGCAAGAAAATATAAGTTTCCAGACTGAATAAGGCCCGCAAGGTACCCAGCACAGTGAATAAAAGGTACAACATCTTGAATATTCAGAACAAGTTAATACACATGCTAAAATGTTCATGATGGGGTGAGAAAGGAGGAAGAGGAGGAGAAGCAGGAATAAGAAAAAGAGGAAGAAGAAACCCACCACAGTTCACACATAAAAGATCAGAAAAGACAGTAATATCAGATTTCTCAACAGAAATATAAGAAGCTACAATACTATGAAGGAGTGCCTCTTAAAACTCACAGAGAAAATCATATCTAATCTAAAATTATTTGCCCTGCCACATTATCAATCAGGTATCAGTTTAGGGAAAATACAAACTTTTAGGCAGCAAAGTTTATTTTTTATTTATTTTTGTAGAGACAGGGTCTTACTATGTCACATAGACTGGTCTTAAACTCTTGGCCTCAAGCAAGCAATCCTCCCACTTCAGCCTCCCAAAATGCTGGGATTACAGGCATGAGCCACCACACCCAGCCTAGGCAGCAAAGCTTAAACTTCCTCTCGTGCATATTTTCTCTAGCAACAACTAGAGGAGTTGCTTTACTAACAAACCAAGAAAAAGGACGAGAAGAGATCCAGGAATTTCCATAAAGATTGGTGGGGAA